GGCCCACCATTAACTGCTCTACAGCATCCTGCAGTTATTCATATAACGTCTTTCCAAAAGAACTTATAGCGTTATATGGGAAGCGATCAAAAAAGTTGTCGGGCGATCCGAATAATTTTCAATAGCGTTCGTCCTTGGGCCAAAACACATCAGTGAACAATATTTCATCAAAATATCCCAATAATTGTAGCCAATAGATTAAACATAAGAAAACAAGAGGAACAGTTGGACAGACAGGCTTAAATCGAATCGGAAAGTAATTCTGAATCGATCAGTATAATAAAACTTGTACCACAACTGTCCGAGGTTACATTGTGCTCACAGTCGCCATATACCTGAAACTGCAAAGCTAAAGCCGACAACAATTTAAAATTTTGAACTTTTGGTCGCAGCGGAAACTGCTTGATCAGTTAAATGGCTTGCAAATTTCTATACCTACGAATGAATGAAATGAATATTATTTTTATAAGATTCACAAAAACCACTTAGAGAGTCATCTACCAATACGTATGTATACGTATATCTATTACTTATAGGTGTAAGATTCTAAACTGATTTATTTATGGATGTTTAACTGTCTGTCGCGTCTTGCTGGAAAGTTTGCCCTCTTCAAAATTGACATCACGTTTATTTTGCATTGATAAACATAGAAAAGGTTGAAGACTAGTCCACACAAGGCAATGGACTACAAATACTCCGACAATAAATGACAATCGGTAACGTATGATCTATAAGATTTATTAATCCCTGAAGCTTTGTAAAAATATTTCTTAGCAGCACCTGAAAATTACAAAATAAAAATGATCTAAAGCGATTAACTGGCAGATGCCTAATTGGCCAAATATATTAACAAGTTTTATTAGATTACAAGACGAACGACTTTAATTTTTTATGCTTAGATCCATCAGAAGAAGAATAATTTTTTTCATTTTCTATACGAGTGTCCATTACTCGACTTTCATTGCATTTGAGTAGGATATTGGGAAGAAACATTTTTAATTTTCATAAAAAATATTAAAAAAAATATGTAGCAGTTGAAGTTTAATAAAACCTTAAGAAAGACCTTTAAAATATTGGAAAAATCATAAGACAAATTTTGAAAACTCAAAAATATATATTTTTTTTTAAGACTTGGATAGTGGGGCAAGTAAGAATGTCGACTATCACGTCAGTGTTCGCGGAGTATAATTCAGTTTGATCGTGGATATAGTGAGAGCTCAGTCGATATAGGCAAAAGACTTACAGATACTTGGCTGCGGTCACCACCTCGCTATCGCTTTCTATTCTCCTTACCGGGATATGCTCTGAATGATTGAAAGGAAAATAGCTGAAAAATAGGCAGGAAAACAACTTAGGTCCCAACATTGCTTTACCGTAATTGTCTTGATTTCAAATTGAAGGCTAACAAGCCACTCTCAAAGTAATGGCTTATGGTTCAATTTTCAATCAAGGACGAGTCCGCAACACATTACGAAATCTTTAAAAGTTTTTTTTTGCGCTTCAAGACTTAGGACGAAATTAATATAACGCTATTCCTTTTACTGCACTGTCGGTAATTTGTACATCGACGCTACTATTTATAAATGAATCAATTGTTTAAAAAATAAACATTAAAATTAACTAATTAATACATGAAAATGTTTTATTTTGTATTTTTAGCACTTAATTATATTTGAAATAAACGTCTTTCTCTTTACTTAAGAACACTTGTGTACAATAAAAATTTTAGATCGATATTTACTGCGGAACGAAGAAAAGCATTAACATTGAGTTTAGAATTTATTTTGCGGTATTTGTAATAACTTACATTATTTATTACATTATAATTATAAGTTTCTGTTTCATGGTGATTGCCAGCCAATCCCGTACATCCGATCATATTAAAACTCTTTGCACACTTCTGCTTCCTATGACAATAGAATGTATTAAAGACAAATTTTTGTATTAAATGTCCAAACGGAATCAATCAATTACTATTTTGATGACCTCAAATCATGCTGAAATGTTGCACACACACCTTTTACTTGAGTATATTTTGATCATTTTTGCACAAGAAAAGAGGGTTTATTGGGGAAAATTGATCCGTTATATAATATTAATCCAAATAGTTTCCATCATTTTCTACAACTTTTTTTTCGTCTTTCTGGCGATAACGTGTCGAAAGAACGGTATTGGTTTGGCAGCGATCGAATCATCGACTTATCTTCGCCGTTCTTCAGCATTTGGAATCCTCTTACCAGCCAGGCCACTCTGTATAGATAAAGTGGCAATCAGAAGGCGCTAGGTGTGGCAAGTGTACTGGGTGCGGCAGACCTTCTCAGTCGAGATGTAACAGTGTAACCTTGACAACTCCTGCAGCGTGTTGCTAAACATTGTTATGCAAGATGATGACCCTGCGTCTAACACCTATTTTTAGTCTTTTTTGCAATAACACATCTTTCAATTTGTTCAATTGACGCCATTGGATATCCGCAGTAACAGTTTCATTCGGTTTTACGACTACACGACTTGCCGATACCATCATAAGCACAGCGAACCTTTGTGTCCCTGAATATTCTGCTTCAGTGTCGATCTCTCCTATACTAACCAATTACTTTTTCCGCTTGGGATTGTCGCAATAGATTCACTTTTCATCACCACTCACACTATGCCATAAAAATTCTCCTTTTCTTGCCCGGCAAGCAATGAATCCGCGATTTTGAAACGGTCCTAAATGGAATTTTCAATATTTCCATTTTCCCTCGTTTTAGATATTTTCCCCTTGCATATAAATGTCTAGAAACAATTGATTCCTCGACAGCTAAGTTGTTCGAGAGTTCTTTCTTTGAGTTTGACCTGGATTTTCGTCCAATAAGTTTTATAATTCATCGCCTTTGAATTCTTTTGGTTCTCCCGGCCGTTCTTTGTCATCAACACTTCTAAACCATTAAAGCCAAAACTGACGGTTAAGATATGATAGAGCAACATCACCTTACGATCCTAAAAATGTTTGAAGGTGTTCGGGAGCAATTTTCTTCAAATAAAACAATAAATGTAATGAACGCCAAAAATGCAATTTTGAGTGTTCCGTGATCGAATTTAACCATTGTGTACATTGATACTTCGCCTTACTTTATCATTTCATCAAATAAAAAGGCTTGGAGAGCAAAATGCAAATTTTAACGGAGAAAAAAAATGCATAAATAAATAAATAAATTACACACAAAAAAAAAAAGACATATATATATACTCTACATCAGTTGTAGTACAGGGATATATTAAGTTTGTACGGATATATATAACAGCCAGAAGAGATTTTTTATACCAATACTTTTTATTATGTCGATCGATTTCTAATTACTTTCAGGTCAGATTCGGAAGGGTTTTCTGAATCGATCCAAGCTTGCCTGCCTGTCGATCTGTCCCTCTGTTCATCAATTTTTGTATTCAATCCACATATCGCAGTTTTATACCATTTCCCATATGTTGTAAAGGTTTATACGAATGTTTGCAATACCCAAAAGGACTTAACGTAGTTCCACCTTTTATTATACCAATCAATTTAAAAACACTTTTTGATTCAGAATCATTTTTTGAATCGATCTAAGCCTGCCTGCCTGTCTGTCTATCCGCGTTTCCGTCCATACATTTTTGTATTCAACCTAAAGCTCGCAAGGTTATATCGTATACTACCTGCGGTTTAAGTTTATGCGAGAGTATGCAACGCTTAGAAGGACTTGAGGTTAGGTGCACCTTTTATTATATCGATCGATTCTCTCCATCTTGTTTTCTTGTGTTCAACCAGCAAATCGCAATTTCTAAGATGTTACAAACTTCCTTTTTCCTTCCCCTTACCTTTCTTAAACCACTTTTTTACTGGAAGAATTAAATATTTAAAAAAAATGCAAGGTGTGACTAAAAGAAGGCGCTTAAAGGCCTCCGTTCTCACTTGGTGCTTGCGTTTAGTTTACTAATCAATAATAATTGTTATAGCAATGCAATGATACAGTAATAATTATTATTATAATCAAGATTGACATGCCAGTAAGATTATAGTGCAGCGGCACGGTGAAGATATACATGAACATAGCCATATTGTGATCGTAAGAGCAGGCTTTACAAAAATTTATAAATTGTTCAAATTTTAGGAAACCCTTATGTCCCGTTTAAACCTGCTCGGGCTAACAATTGTGTTAATATTAAATAGTAACAAATTCCATTACTCCACAGCGTTAATCTAAAATAGTCTCGATTACCTATGGTCAGGCAGAATTAAATGCCGTTCAAATTTCATTATCTGAAGTTTCCCAAATAAATATCTTGCACTTCTAGCGTTATCTATCTAAGTTTCTTCGAAATGATATCGCTATAGTGCCACAATATTGTAAAATATTGTAGAAACTGAAGGAAACTATGTTATATATATATATATATATATATATATGTATATGTATATACGCTATGGTAACACAAACATTCCATTGTAGCGAAAAACCTAACTCAATGAAAGCAATCGAGTGCCATCAACCCCCAAGGCGATTGCATCGTTTTTGTCTTTCGCAGCGTAAGATAGCGCGATAACGAGACCGCAAACCCACTCAAGTGCTATTTGTTGCTAATAAAAATTTTTCTTTCTTCTTTTGTTAATCTTATGTTAAGAACCACTTTTTTTTGGTACAAAGTGTTTCCGCGCACTACGCAGAATTAAGTGTTAGATGTCAAATAATACTCAAACCGAACTGTTCCAACTCATACAAACATGATGTGAAAGACACTCATGACATTTCTCAAGACAAGGAATTCTTTGGTGCCATTATTATCTTCCTAAATATCCGATTCGCTTTTCGCATTCAAATCCAAGAAAAACGTTACCAGAATTTTAGTGTTAAAAATTGCAAATTCTTCAACTGGCATATAACCCTTTATTTTTTATTGAATTATTTGTGCCACCACTTAAAAAGTAAGATTGCGCATCCTTTGCAGGATAACTGAATGCGCAAATTTGCGCAAAAATAATGAAATGCGCAAATTAAATTAAATATATAGATTTTAAGAGCATAAATTTAAATTATAAAATATTCTATTATTTACATTCGCTTAAACTAACCGTAATTAAAACAAAACAAAATTACAATTGACGCAAAATCGAACGAAAGGACGAATAAAACTATTTAGAAAAATCTCATTACAATGAACCATTTTAGCCAATAATATTATGCAACACTTAGGAGCTAACATTAGATTTAATAATAATAATAATGATAATAATGAAAACATGCTTACGCCTTGTTTGGAAGTTGTACGGCAGGGTGACAAACATACTTTTGCCTTAGTGCTGATGGAACGCAATAGCAACTGTAAAAAGAACATGGTTGTAAGCTCTTTAAAACATTGTTGTTTCACGTAACCCCTCCGAACCGATAGTAGTTGATTAATACATTAAAGTCAACTGTTGTGTTGCTGCAACCTTTAAAGTCCCACTAATCGGCGGCGGCTCTTGTTTAGGCTGGGATGGGTAAAGAGTTGCTTTATTAAGTTCAGCTCATTGGTTCACATGTCATGCTGATGACTTCGATGCATCTTTGCATGTGGCTTGCTGATAAATTTCTCACGGTGCCATTCATATTTCCGTATATAGAGAAAAGATAAAATTATTAGTTTCTTTTTTAAAAGTTTTTTAAATAACCTTAAATTTTTTTTTTTTTTTTTTTTACAGTATTTTTTTCAGAAAAAACAAAAAAGGAAAACTAGAAAAGAATTACATTAAGTTTTGAACGAAAATTGGACAAATAAATTAAAATCAAAAATGTAGGTAAAAAAAAAATTAAAATGAGCTTAGGAACAACAAAGGATTATGGTAATATAGCAATAATAGTAACTGCTTTTACGAACAAGGGAAAAATACAATGCGCCAAGCGTAGTTCAGAACACATTTGGCACTATCTAAACTTTAAAAAAAAAATGTGTATATACGGCGGTCAAAGTTTTTAAGTTCTTTCGCGCAGAGAAGAAAGCGATCCGTTTTCTTTTCTTTTTTTTTTTTATTTAAAAAGTTCTATTTTTTAAATTGCTTTCTTCAAGTTAATCTCTCTGGATGTTTTAAACCTTGTTCACTCTTTCATATTTTTAGCAGCAAAAATTTCATTTACTTTTTATACGATTTTCATCTAAATTGAATTGCTGTTATTGTTGTTGTTTTGCTTTCGTCTAGAACGTTAAATTTTCGCTTCTAATATTTAGCGGTTTTGCTGATAAGACGATTGATTGCAATATTATTATGCAGCCATTAGAGCATATCATGGCTAATGGTGGATCTACCTTGGGCTTCTCGCATAATTTGCGGTAATGCTTAGTTTTACAATTCCTCTTTAGCTTTGTTCTAATCCAGCCATCTTAGAGATCCGCAAGTGTAGTGTAACGCGACCATACCTGCTGCTTAACACGATCCGTCCTTTTAACTCCTAGTCCAAGACGACTTTATCGAAGTTATTCAAATTTGTTAAACAAAACTTCCCAGAAGTATTAAATCCTATCAGGCATATATTTCATAGACAGAGACGCGACTTAAAAGCTGCCAAGTTGCTGTAATTGAATGCATAAAAAATCGATGCATCCATCCAGTTTTAGAAATCCGATTAATGCGTTTAATAAAGGATTATTTCAATTTTACTAAAGGAAATAGAAAGTTTTCAACAAGTTGGTTTTCCCGTCCACTAGTTACTTATCTTTAAACACTCTTTTTAAACATTCTAAATTACTAGCGCATTTAACACCGAACAACGACAGTCTCATTTGTATTATAAGAAAGAGGGAGAAATTTAAGCACTTAAAAAATTTTATGGAATAATTGTTTTTAAAAAATGAAGATCAAATATTTTTATGAATAAGTACCCGAAAAAATTCATAAAAACAATTTTTTAAAGTTCACTTTATGAAAACGCAGCACATTTTAGGGGAAGACTTGTTTCCGATTATAGCGGAAGGTTTTCTTTTTTTTTTCTAGTTATAAAATAGGTTATACGAAGAGAGCGCAGGTTGTGAAATTTTGTTTGGTAGCGAAAACTCTCAAAAACGTGCCTTAGTTTCATTTTTTTTTTAATTTTTTTTTTTTTTTTTTTTTTTTTGTTAAAGGCACTCTATTTGAAAGTCATTAAATGTTTCGCTTTTCTTTGTATGATTTCTTAACGCAACGTATTCGTTGTTTATCGCTTTAATATTCAGATTGTTATGGTTGAAGCGATTTTACAATCAATTTGATTGTTTTCTAACCCTGTAAAGGGTAAATTAAAGCCGACCAACCATTCTTGACATTTAGCTAAACTGCCGAAAGCCAACAGCTCAGTGATGAAGTCAATGCCAATATGTGGACGGTACCTACCGAGAAAAGCGAATACAAAAATATTACAAGTTCATAATATAAAAATGAAAAAATCGAACTTACGCTTTAATAATTGTTTTCAAGGCGGATTTGCGCTCTCTTTCGATAAACCAATCTATTAGATGACCAGCCATCAATGGGGCTGCCTTATATAAACGAAACAGCTTGCAATAGTTGCCCATCGCCCAAGCTGAACGAAATTCTAGGGCATGAGCAATAGCAGGATTTTCACGTTGCGCTTGTGTTAATGATCGTAAAACCGTAGTGATATCTATATAATTAAGAAAGAAACTTTATTTATATGCGACTTAATTCGAGGTAAAATTTATACGTACCCAAGGTATTCTTCGTGAAGACATAATAAAGTATACGATAAGCGGTGAATTCCAAGGTATTCACACTTGCTCCGACTTCGGTGTACAACATTTTCAATTGCGTTTGGCATTGGTTGAATTCCTCATGATCTCCCTTTTCCATGGCTATGCGGGCGTGAGTTTCATAAACTTCTACCGTGAATTTGTCTCGAATACCTTGCACCTGTTTCAAAATACAGTTGCATATGAAATTTAATGTAAGCTTTTTAATAGTTCGTCAGTTTTATATTTACCGTTAAATCTTGTCGTATTGATTTCAACTGATCACAAGCGTAGAAATAATCCTGATTTTCACGCCATTTCTTTTTAACGTTCTCTAATGAATGTACAAGTACTTGTATAGGCCTAACCTCTGAAGGTAATGGTGCTTTGGTTAGTCGTAAAAAGGACTTCTCCAAATCGCGACATGTACCAACAATATGTAAATCGAACAATTCAATGCCAGCGTTATCTACAGCGGACTCAACATCTTCGATAAACATACGTGAATTAATACTGTTGTTAAATTTCTTGCTATTTTTATTAAATTTATTTTGACCAAAAGGCGAACTGGCCACCGCCACAATCGCCTTATTAGTACCAGCTAAAGAAAAACGTGCCGCTCTTTGTTGGAGACGTGCAGTATCGTCATCTATGGCACCACCAATCGATGACGAATAGAAGGGTATTTTGGATTTAGCATTAGAGGAAACAGAGGAAAGGCTTAAGGAGTTGTCATGTTTTTTGTTTTTCTTATTTTGTTTTTGTTGTTTCTTATTAGAATAATTAGTGGATGCGGAAGTGGTTAGGGATATGAAATTTTCGGACGAACGGTGATCAGAGGATGAACTAGAGGATGACGAAGAACGACGCATTTTTCGTGGTCGCGAAGAAGACGACGACGACGAACTACGGGACCGCGATATACGTTTATTATTACGATATTTCGTAGGAGAACTGTGAAGTAAGAAGACAAAGGAAAAATATTTTAGAAAATTTCAAAGACAGAGATGATGAAAATTCAAATAAGCTTTAACAATACTGCCAATGTGCTAAATGAACTATCTAACTGGTTGCAACAGAGATTTATCGAACTTACATCGTATATTTTTAACCCCCATTATATTAGTTAGAAGATTTCTATTTTTCTATGTATTATTAAGGTTTGAAGTTACATTGCTCTTGCTATTCCTAGACGAACGAATTAACATTATAAGACTTTGCATTCAAAATAAGATTTTAGTGGTAAATCGGTGATTAAGTGATTTCTAAAAAACCGCAAGCAACTCAAAATGCCGAAAAACATATGAAAAATTTTCGCTGTTTCCAAATACAAACAAAAATTGCACTGCCAAATATAAGTGTACATACACATGGGGTAAGTGAAATTTTTGTTACAAACTTCTTTTATTTCTTTCATTGTATTTACTCATAACGATGAGTGAAAAAAGATATTTTCTTTTCTTTTAGGAAAGAGGTGCAGGCATCCAAAAATTAGTTAACATTGACTTAAAGGAAACGATGAGAATGGAACTAGACCCAATTAACAATGTTGATAAATGATTTACCACCTTAAACATTGAACTAAAATTTATCACGAATAATATTTTATAACGGAAATACTTCGGACCGATTTTCATAATTAAAATTTCCAAAAAGCCTGTATAGATAGAAGATGCTAAGTGATTTTGATTGTTATAAGGTATTAAGGGAAGGGAGTTTAATAGTACATTAATATTCCTTTCGAAACGGGCAAAATAACACATCACAGGCCCGTAAAAAATTAAAATATCACATCAAGTTGGTTACCTAAGTTTGTTTGTTGTTGGAGCACCAACGAATGGGAAAAATGAAATCAAAATCTGAAATTTGACATATGCAGTATACACCTATTGGCTAATGGCTGCAGAGCTTAGAAAAAAACTATATATATTTATAAATAAGGCCAAAAACTGTAAAGTATTGTCTCACGATAGCGTGGGTACAAAAATCGCCGCTAAGCGTAGCTCTTTATGAGCCTTTGTACTTACCGCGAACGACTGCGTGAATCTCTGCACTTCCCGAGAAAAGAATTTCTTTGACCCAACCGTGAATTTAAACTACGCGATAATCCCCCCCCTTTGCCGTTATGATTATTTTTTAAATGATCCATCGGAATTATTTGTTGCGTATTCTTGCTTTGATTAAAAGGATTACGTTGACTTTGTTGTTGCTGCTGATGATGATGATGATGAGGAGATTGTGTCTGGTTGTGTAGTTTTACGCTTAGGTTGTTGCGTTCACTGAAAACACTAGGCAATGGTTCGTTATCCCAATCGCGGGTCCAAAGTTCATTGCGATTAGCTGCGGCAATAATTTTTCCCTTAAGACATATATCGATTTGATCTTTATCCAAATCGGTCGTACATTTCGCATAACAACGGGCCACATAATTATTTAAAGATTCAGGCCAAGCATCATTCGGATTATTAAAAGCATTCGGCTTTTTAAAAGTATTAGAATTGACCGCTATTAATGAAGATGCTGGCTGTGGAGAATTTTTCTCCGAAATGGGGAGCTCATTTGGATTGGCCATTTCTCCAGCATTACTGTTATCAAGAGACTGCCCTATAGGTGGCGGGGGTTTACTTAAATCAATATTGGATATAATTGGTGGCGGTGGTGGAGGTGGTACCGAAGTGTTTATGAAATTCGCCTCATTTATCAAGGACGATGAGCGTGCTTCATCAAAATGAGCATCGAATATTGCTTGCTGCTTTTGCTGCATTTGATTCTGCTTATTTTTATTACGTTTGCGTTTCTTCTTATTATTATTATTATTACTGTTATTATTATTATTGCTAAGGATACTTTGATTATTATTGTTTTGATTAAAACTAAAATTCCCATTTAATTGCTGCTGCAATGGGTTTGGAGTATTTGTCAGCCGTTTCTGCTGACTTAAATTAAATCGAATGCCACCGAAGTTCTTCTGATTGCTCCCGTTGCCAGCACCGTTATTAGGGGGTGGCGGCGGGGGACCTGATGGCAATGGTGGCATATTTTTTTCACTCTGGGACATGACTGCATTACTGAAACCAGGCGGGGCATTACTACTAGAAATAGTTGAAGTTACCCCCGATTGTTGCTGATGTATTCCATAGCGCATATAATACTGGTAATACTGAGAATATTGTTGTGGGGGCGGGTAGGACGTATTGGAATTATTGTACCAAGGTCCATAACCTGTCCATTGACTTGGTTGTTGGTTGCCACCGTTGCCATTTGAATTTTGTTGTTGCTGTTGCTGCATTTCTTGCAACTGTGGTATCAAAGGTACTGCTACAGCCTCGGACATAATTTGCAATAAATATGCTAGTTTTTTTTATCGCCTTGCTTTTAACACACGCTAAATTAACCCCAAAAATCTTTTTCCAACTTTGCCAAAATTCCTGTTATTCGCTTGCTTCTTTAGTGCGAAGGTCGAAATTTTTGCCCTTTTTTATTAATAACTTACCTTTTTTATGAGTGCTACAACTCTTGTATTTAGCTGAAAATGATTTAAATGCAAAAATATTAGTAAACTTGAATATATTTCCAATTTTTATCATAAAACCCATTAGCAATAAGCTGCGCAACATTGCAATCATGCCTAAAATGTAATTTTATATCGGCCATTTTGTTTTTCACTCATACCTTTTTTGATGTGAAATTGCTTTTCAAATTGTTTAAGTTCGCAGCAGAATTAATCCGTTTTCAGCAAACAATTTATATTACTTTCATCATTTATATTTGCTACTTTGAAAAAGAGAAATTTCTTTTTAATATTTCTAAAATAATTTGACACTAATTCCATTCAACTTCCTCAGCTACTTTGATATTAAAAGAATGACGAATATTTTCTAAATTTAACGTTGCCAGAGTTTAGCAAAAGTGGTCATAAAGCATGAAGCAAAATATTCTCACTGAAAAATCATCCCCATCTTTTCTACAATTCCTTAAAATAATATAACTAAAACAGAAATTTATGCTGTCCTATTTATATAATTTTCAAACCAACTTAAATTTATCGTGCAATTTAAGCATAAGTACAATAATACGTAAATCTTAAACGATAGATATTTGCTTCGTTGTAATGTATAAATTACACGAAGAATCTCATATTTTTATATAAGTGCAAGTTTAATTGGCGATTTAATCACATCTAATTTCGCGTTTATAAGGAAAACTTAAGAAACTTCAAATCCTTTTTCTTATACACGGTAAACACTTTGTTTATTATAAAATTTACAAAGATAAATTCAATTCTAATCATATCCGAGCAATTCGAACAATTGTCGCCAATCGATATTATTTTAATTTTCCCTGGGCCCACTTAGAGCTTTCATGTGCCCATTCGGAATTTTTTGCTACTTTAGTAATTTTGTTTGCCAATTTAACAAAAGCACTTGCTAATTCAGTATTATCCATCGATAGTTTGGAATTTTTTTCTTTCAAAACATCATTGACTGTCTTCAATTCTTTATTCATTGCCTTAATTTTTAGAGCTTCTGATTTCAGGAAATTATTTTCAGCTGCAAGCAAGGCTTTTTGTGCCTTCAAGAAAGCATTCGCTGACAATAATTTTGATCTTTGTCCTTTTATTTCTTCGGCCATTTTAGAATCTCCGTTGTCTAGTCAGTGTTTTTCAACATAACTTGCTCAATTTTCTTTACTGAATGTGTAATCTATTTTTAAGTAATTGTCGGAAGCAAGAAAATAAATTTCAAATATTGTATTTACAAAAAGAAATTTTGAAAAGAAATCATTCACTAATACACTAACATGACCCAGCCATGTCAGTATTTTTTACGAACTTATTTTAAGACGGATTATAAAAAAGTATTTGAAAAATATTTTACGTATGAAAAGTTTAATTTTCGTTTCGCAGTTTTTGTTACACAGCTGAATGCGAAAATGAAAACTAACTTTCAGTTACTTGATTACCCTCTCAGTATACATTTTCAATCGCTTAAGAGTTGATAAAGAATAATATCATATTCCAGATAATTTCACGCTCGCTTTACAACACTGACAAAACGGCAACCATCTCTAGTGCGATTATATTATTTTTGTTTTGAGGTTTGGTAGCATTGCATTGATTCTTCTTTCAAATACCCGCAGTCAGTTGGCGGCTTTCGCGGAAAAGTTTATTAATTTATTTTTGCCTTTTTTCACATAACCAATAATATGCAAAAAATTAAAAAGAAACCACCAAATAGACATCATATACCGAAGTTAATTGAAAATGTTCCGGTAGAATATAAAGACAATGTCAAAGGGATGTCTTTAAAAATGATGTCTCACGAAGCTTATGGACAGCCGTGAGTAAATAATAATCGTTTTTGTGTTTTTATCTTTTGGTAATAAATATTCCTACTCCATTAGTTACGAATGGTCAACAAAAGACTTTGAGATGGGCGCGCCTTTGGGACGTGGTAAATTTGGTCGCGTGTATTTAGCGCGTGAAGTTACGACAAAATACATAGTAGCTATGAAAGTTATGTTTAAAGCCGAAGTAGAAAAAGGGAATGTACAGCGTCAAGTTTTACGGGAGATAGAAATTCAATCGAGGTTAAAGTAAGTAAAAATAATCCAAGTTGAGATACTTCTAATAACTTATGGTCGATTTAAAAAAAAAGGCATCCCAACATTTTACGCTTATTGACGTGGTTCCATGATGATGTTCGCATATATTTAGCCTTAGAAATTGCCTCGGAGGGTGAACTCTTCAAGCATTTGCGCAACAACCAACGCTTCGACGAGTTTCGCTCTGCGAAATACACTTACCAAGTAGCTGATGCTTTGAACTATTGTCACTTGAATAATGTCATCCATCGAGATTTAAAGCCTGAAAATATTCTACTTACCTCATCAGATGACATTAAAGTAGCCGATTTCGGTTGGTCGGCTCATACATTATCAAATAAGTATGGTTTTTATAATACTCTTATGTTATGTTCTAACTCTTTCATTCGAATTATTTCAGGCGCAAAACAATGTGCGGTACAATTGATTACTTACCGCCTGAAATGGTTGACGGTCGCACTTACAACGATTCTGTAGATCAATGGTGTTTGGGTGTGCTATGTTATGAATTTTTAGTAGGTTCTGCACCATTTGAATCTAAAGACACACAAAAGACGTACGAGAAGATCCGTCGCTTAGAAGTGCATTATCCGTCTTTTCTTTCAGCAGGCGCGAAAGACCTCATTTCCAAATTGCTACGTAAACCCGGCGACGAGCGCATAACTTTGGTCGACGTAATGAAGCATCCATGGATAAAGCAAAATATGAAAAAAAGAAATGCCTTATTAGAGGAACGAGCTCTGAAAGCAAGAGCGGCGGGGGCATCCTATGTTAATTAATTCTTTAATTTTGGAATCTTTGTTCTTTTTTTTTACTGTCTTAATAAAAAAAAAAAAAACCAAATAAGAAGAAAACCATATAATCTCTATCTAGGTGACACGCAAAGCTGAGAACGATAACGTAACATGTTGCCGCCAAAAAACAATGTTTCATTAGAAATAAATTTAAATGAAATTTTCAATAATTTCTAAACTCCTTTATTTATGGATAAACGCATCGATAGGTGGATAATTTTGGGATAAGCTTTAACTTATAAATTATTAAATAGTGTAAGTATTGTCTCGGCTCAGCTATTTCTATCTGCAGACACCTTTTCGAATGCTGACGGCCGTAAGTCGCGGAAAGGCGACATTGTATATCAAACAAAGCCAAATTGAAACTGAATTCTTACGAAGAGACGTGAAAAAGCAATAAAAAAAAATGACTTAAAAACTAAGGTAAAATAGCAATACTTTTTAGATTTAATGCTCAACGCACATATTCATAAACTTTATGACCAGCAAGAGGAAGACCGGTAAAATATATGAACAGCAAGAGGAAGACCTGTAAAATATATTTACTTGATCATACCAAACGATTGAGGAAAACATAAAAAAAGCGCTCCTATATAAAACGTTTTTACAAAAAACGTCTTTCAAATTTTTAATATGGTCGTTGATGTGACATCTTAATACGCGGCATTAAGTTTTGGAGCATGTAACTATTACTTCTTTGAATTAATATATGAAAACAACCTCAAGCGCCTCTGTTCTGATCAATTTGGCCCATTTTTCATATCAACCTGCGGGCGAACATTTCCAATGTTTCTACCAAAGTCGATATTTTCATTTTTGCGACCAGTAGAATGCCAACAACACGCACCACACAGACAAACACACGGACATACTTCGAGTTTGGTAATTTGAGAGAGTAATTAAATGAGCGACCACTTGTTGCAATGTATTCGAACTTCGAATTTGGTAATTTGAGAGAGTAACTAAATGAGCGACATTTGTTTGAATGTATTTGAACTTCGAGTTTGGTCATTTGAGAGAGTAATTAAATGTTCGAATGCATTTTTTTGGTATAATATTATATTTATATTCCTAACATGATGGTGTTATCATTGCGTTTGTTTTAATTTCATGACGATTTCGAATTTAACTTGATGTGTTTAATAATCACGCAACACTGTACTAATTATGTATGTATATGCATGCATTTTTATTACATGACAAAAACAATTAAAAGAAGAATTTAATTAAGGACTTTACAGGTTCAAACCGAATGCTTAATACAATGGTTTCCATAGCTTTATTTTAAGGGTTTCTTACTTTCTTTCTTGATATTAAATAAGTAGTTTAATAAGTTTTTTTCTTGTTGTTGCTGTTGTTGTTTTCAACTGTTGCGACTAATGTGATATAGTGACAAATAAAGAACATTTATAAATGGCAGTAAGCTACTTAAGCTTCTAGTTCCAAAGCGACACCGATTTTATGGCCGCCTGCATTGAAATTTTTGCCATCGACCAAAGTCGATAAATAAAGAGTGATACCATCGCGTAATTTTTGTTGGTAGCCCAAACCAACTTGACAAGCATTGTTAACTTTAGCACGCAATGCGGCATCCTTGTCCAGCTGGAATTTAGCACCCAAACCGAATTTGGTATTATTTGAGCCTGATGCCCAGGAAAGCTGCACACCAATATCCAAATTGTCGTTGCATTTTTGGAAGATAGATCCGCTGAACTCTTCACCATTGTTTCTATAAAGATTTGCAATAAACATTTTGAGACTATGATTCTAATTAAATTTCTTGCTTACACAGCTGTGTGTAATACAAAGTCCTTCGTGGCATAGCCCAACGCAAAATTGTTAGTTGTTAACTTAGTGTTTTGAGAATCGAAAGCTGTTTGGTAACCTGCCAACCAACCTTCATATCCCAAAACAGCGGAGGCATTAATCAAAGGACCGCTTAAATCGACATTCATATCGGAATCTATTTTAACGTTATCATGGCCATAGCCTACTTTAAATTTGCCGCTCTTGTTGCCCGACTGTGGCGCAAAAGAACCTTCGAAGGCCAATTTCAAGCCTTCCAGTAATTTGTCTTGTACAGCAACTTCAGTGAAGAGAGTGTTATCTGTATTCCATTTTTCAGTCAATGTTAGACCGTAGTCCGAAACTTTGTATTTAGTTTCCAATGAACCAAAAACTTTGCCCGATTCCGTATTGGAATGGCCGGATGTGCTGAATTCTATCCCAGATGAGGTTTTGGATTTGCAATCTAATTTCCATAAGCCAAAGTGATAACCTTTGCCGAAAATATCACGAGCTTGTTTTCCCAAATCCGAATACGATGGAGGAGCCATCTACAATTAATCAAAATATAAAGCAAATTTTAATTACATAATAAAAACTTTAAGCTATTAATTATGTAGGCATTAATTTCTTTTTACTTTTCTCGTAATCACATTAAGTTCATGTCAACCAACTGCTTACATTTGCCCATGAACAAGGGAAAAATTTGTGCTCCTTAATAGTATCTCTATCAAGCAATTAAAAAGTTTGGGAGCGGATAACGATAACAGAATGCAACGAACAGTCAAAGTCAAATTCTGGGCAACATTTTGTTGCCAACCTATGCAATTACAACTAAGATATAAGATTTGTTGTTCTGCAGATTCCATGCGTATACTTCCGACGCTTTTTATTCTCTCATTCCTGAACACTAAAACACTATCCAAAATCAAATCTCATATTTATACACTTCCATTAATCTTGATGTCTGCTTTCTCCTTACTGCCTAATAATTTCAACTCATTATGTAATCGCCCTAAGAGGCTTTTGGAACAATCTGCCAACAGGTAGGTCTTTTCCGTCTGACGTGTCTGACGTTTTTACTTTTAAGTCAAACGTGCACAAAGACTATTCCCTTTTTCCATTCCTCCATGCACCCAATACATCGTGGCTGTGCCTATAGGAGACATAACCTGAGTATGGGAAGAGTATGGAAAGATGTTTTCATTAATGCCATAAAATTATTTATGTTGGATATATAATTAATTTGACAGTTCACGTAAAGTGAAATTTTTATAAAAAAAAGGTATAAAAACGAAGGATAGGTCTGATTCTCGAAATACATTCTTGAGATAATTTTTAAGGCTTGCTTTTCGGATTTTATTGTATATACTCTATTTTGGTATAAAACAAATGTCATTAATGTCTTGTACAATACTTATTTTCTGTTCAAGACAAAGGAAATTATTTTAGTCACAAAATATAAATGGCTACACGCACAGCCCAATGACTCGACAATGTACAAATATAGAAACCGATGGGAGCTTTAAAGTTTCATTTGTATTTATTTAAAGTATTATACAAATGAATGTATGGCGTCGACGAATTTCGTGCAGCCAGCCATGAAAGATAATTTTGTAGCCATCAAAAGGCAGGTCAATGTATGCTCGCTATGTAAACACATGTACATGTGAACGCATTAGAAATATTTTTGCATCATTATGGACTAAAATATCGTATAGATGCAAGTAGTTGTTTGCCTTAACAGTAGTGTGCACACTAATAACGCCCTAACATGTTCGCATTTCCTTTCGAATTCTCAGTGAGGATAAACACTCAATTAAGTCTCCCCATTTCTAGCGCTAAAAGAGAAAAATACTAAGGCAGTCACTTTTTCAGGCAGAAAATAAGTAATCATTCGTTCCAAATCACATAAATACAATTTTGTGATTGGCGTGGACCCTTTTGCGTTATGTTTATCCAATATATATTTTAACAAAGATCGAAGTAATTCTATTTGGCACAAATCGAACTGGGAGGATTGCAATTCTTTCAAATTCTTAAACACTCTTTGGCCGTTCGCGGTCTATGAGTGGGGATAATTTATTCAAAATTCAACGACTGACAATAAAACATAAAACAGTCGGTTGGAAATGACCTTCTGTGATTGCTTTGCAGCATTTAATTATTGCACCGATCATTAATCTCGTCATTGCAGCCATAAATTCTTCAAAGTGGGTAAGAACTGCGACTACTAAAGGCAGTGTTCGCAGATTCAAATCTCAAGCGATGTAGAATTTTCTTTGGGCGTAGTTGTAGTGTAGTCTCAAGGATAAGTCGAAAAAGGAATAGAATTGATCAATTTAAGCATACAGCTACTGGGCGGGGGCCGTCGTCTCCCTATTCTTTTCTCTTTCCTCTCTTCTTTTTGACCGTGTTACAGGAATAGGAGATATCCCCTGAATGGATTGGAAAAAAATGTCCTATTCCCTATAAACAACCGTACATAATACGCGCTTCCATTTTGTCCAGCGATCTCAATTAACTGCTATTCATTGAGTCCAAGTCTACCACTGCTTATCCCTGGGCATATACATTATGTAATCGTTTTTCTAATCCTTTCTGCTACAAAGAACGTAATATGGATATTTGCCTAAGGGAAAGCTTTCAAATTTATGCATCAGAAGACAATGATTCTTCAAATAGAATAGAACTGAGTTTTTCCTTTGCCTGTTCTTCTAATCAGTAAAAAGTTACTCGAAAAAGTTTGCTGAAATATCTAAATGATTGTCACAAATGTTACCTTTCAAAGAGTTTTATAAAAGCTTTTTACTACTTAAGTAATCTGTGCAAATAGAAAAGGCACGTGATAATATCTTTAATGAAATAAGCAGATATTAGAGTACTGAACATACAGGCAGGTTATATGTATGTGTGCACACTTTATGACCACAACTATTTGAGAAAGATAGAGGTTTAAAAATATTCCCGCTATTGCTTTTTCTGTATGGCAGCAAACAATTATTAAAAAAAAAAAAAAAAATTATGATAGCAGACAAATGCAAAAATTATACACCCATTGAGTCGAATTTTAGGTGCTCTATATATTATAAAAACAACTAAAGTGAATATCAATAAAATTAAGTTATGCCTGTTGTTGTTAACGAAAACAATTTAGCTTCTCTTTTTTGCCATTTTAGAAATATAATCCGAGAATATGATTTGATTTTGTTTTCCATTATGGGAAAACAAATGGAAATCACGTTTAAGCACAAACACAATAAGTAAATTAGATTGCTTTTCGTCCTCTATATCTGAAAACATAAACGTTAAGTACAAATACAAAAATACAAATATATAACCGTGCAGGTACGTTTCTATTAAAATAAACGTATGAAAATTAACATAGCAAAGAAAATATTTGATGATGTAACCGAAAGAAAAGAAAATTTATATATAATTTAAGCCCTCAATAAACACCTACCGAAAAAAAAAAATACATATATATATACATATATGTATAAACTCAAACATAAGCACACACTTGCCTCTACCAGTTGACCTTCATCATTTCTATAAATTATTAAATCCTTAGGGATTGATTGCTTTTTATCCCGTTTATCATTTGATGTAAACCAAGAGGGTTGAAAATAAAATGTAGATAAGATCTTTAAAGAGGTGTGCTTCTTTGTACTCGTTTCTGTAACTGCCATTCTTAAATTGAAATCCTTTACATATATGAGTGAAGAAAAGCAAAGAATTTTCTTTTTTTTTACTTTTTACTATACTATCACGCGTTCTATTAAAAACAATTATTGTTGGAAGCGAAACTTTGGAAGGAAAAGTAATCGTATGGATCTCACGGAAAATAATATCTTAATTTTTGTTACTTGTTAACAGTAAAATTTTCGTTTTCGTGGCTTTTACGAGCAGAAAGTCAGATGGATAGACAATATTGCGAAGCTTAAAGTGTATACTGTGTATGCTGTATAACGGGGTGCTTGCTTTACGTTTCTCTTCTTTCCTTTTTTTTTTTTTTTAAATAGTGTCAGTCTCTAATGAACACCAATATTGATTTTGGTGGCGTCATTCAATGTCATTACTTACTATCATAATTATCAAAATAATATACTTTTTTGGACAAGATTTGGATTTATAAAGTTTACCCTTTCACCACTTAATGAATCACTTTTTCCATATCCGCATCATGCAATGGGTGCATAGAACTTGAAATTATGAAATTGTACTTCACCCTAGGTAGACCCTAAGAAGAGAGATGAGATATGAATGAATGATATTTTATCGTTGGGACATAAAAGCGGGTACGAACAACCATATAAACAAAAGAAAAAAAAAAAAGAAAAACTAAAATGTGAGAAATTTCACGTTACGTAATATGTAGGAAGGTAATTTCTTTTTTTTTTTCTTAATTGAGGGGCTGTTTAGGCGGCCACCACACAACCAGCAGCAGTCATTGACTGCTCTCTATTGTGTCAATTGCCGGTAAACATACGTTAATACGAATCAAGCATTTTCTCACCTTATATGTCATCTATATATATTTATCAATAGGCATAATAAATAAGCAAATAAAAAAAAAAGTTAAATTTTAAAGAAAAAAACTGCCCTCCTTATGTTCTTACGGGAACCACTTAATTGAAAAATCATTTATTGAAATAATTATTCATACACAGGCAAAAGCACATTTTTAACGTTTCTTCATGGAGAAAATCATTAAGCGGCACACATATACCTGTATATATGTGCATGCACAACCACATTTCTTTTATAGGTTATGAAATCACTCCAGACACTAATTTGTCATTTTCATATTTGACACTTTTTTTTTCTTAAGTAAGAGCCACACTTGCATATTGTATCATCCTTTCATTTTATTATTTTTTGAATAGTTTTTTTTTTTTTTTTCAAATAAAACTACTTACTTTCAATTAAATTTTTATTTGTAAAGCGAGGAACCAAATACGACCAATTTTTTTGATACGACCACGAACAACACCACAAAAGTAATGTAAGAATTTGCAAAGCAGTGCTGCCATTTCTTGTAAAAGATTGTCCCAATTTGAAAAAAAATACATATACGTGAATGGGGGGTTATGGGGGGACAATATTGTCAAAATAAAAGACGCGAAAATAATTTGGCAGCACATGCCACGGTAACGTGAAAACTGTGGAATTAATTTGAAATTCATTAAGATTTTCTGTAAAATATGCTTAAATGCATATCGACGAGCGGTTGCGTTTTGTTAATTCATCGTATTTACAAAATATAATGAATTCCAATTGTTATAAATAATTCTCATTGAAACGTCGAGAGAAAAATTCTAAGAGAACTTATAGCAGACGCGAATTTTATGACTTTTCAATTTAGGAGAAATAAAAAACTACAAATTATTGCTCACGATATTAACAAGCTGGACATTTTGACAAAACATTTTATCGATTTAATCAACCTAACGTTAACATTTTTCTTATGGAAAAACCTAATGAACGCAATAAATTACAATTCTAACACTCACTCGCCCTTCAAGGATCCATACGCCGTTTCATTTGTACTGAAGATCTCAGTAAATATATATTTCGTGCTTCTAATATTTTAAGGAGATGCTAAATTAATTAACTTTCTGCCTAGTAGCCCACTTTAACTTATAGCATACATATTCCTATTTGATGAAGCTTGAAAACAGACTTGATCTATCCACGAAAACGCTTAGAATTAGTTAAAGTTTTCTTATAATCCGGGAGAGATATCGATTAAATACCTGATACAAGTGCTTTCCTCAGTCAAAGGCGAACATACCAAATAGTCAGAAAGCCCCATTGGCTCATGTACCGAGAAAGGGCATTTTGCAAAATCTGATTACGCTTCAGAAATTTAATTGACCTTATTACTTTTTATTATTATTAAGAAAGAGGTCACTGCTCAGCGTTGCAAAAACGATAACACAGAATGCGACAAAAAAATCGCATTCAGTCTTCATCTGCTTTTTATTATATTAATATCTTGTATCATACATTATTATTATTTTTTATTTATTAATTAGTTGATTGATTTTATCAAATCTAAAGTCTGTATGTTCTAATTGGAGGCTCTGCAAGCGTTTGCGCTTATTATTTTTTGATTCTGTTGCCATATTGCTATTAACGTCCAATACTACGATCATAGATTGATGTACGTCGGCAGAAAAGCCGAGGACTTATGCTTCAAAAAAAAAATTCTTCGATGTCAGTACGTGTTTATAGCTTAAATTCACTTAGCTTTAATTTTATTACACACACACACACACACAATTGACTTGAAAGCGAGAAAATATTTATGCAGCTTAGCGTTTTATATTTATAAATTATTTATTATGTACTATATTTATTTAAGTTACGAAGTTCTTATTAGGTTGTTTCCCTTAAACCCCTTTAGTAGCTACGAAATGTAATTTTCATTTTTCCTCAACCTTTTTTTTTATAACCTTTCAGTCCTTATCTTCAACATATTATATTAATAATTACTATGTTAATGTAAATTATGACCTTATAATTATAAAACACATATTATCCACTTTAAGTTAGTTTACATTTTGCAATTGTTTAAAATATTTCCATATATGTACACAAGGAGGGGATATTTAATACAAATACAATAAAGTAACGTTGTTATAAAATAATATTTTATTATTATCCTCTTGTTCCTGTATTAAAATACGTTCCTTTTAAACGGGCCTGGCGTAAGGCGTTTCATAAAACCCGTTCTTTCCATTCCCAGGCATCTTCTTCACGTTCTAGTTTCAGTATCCGCAACTCCAGTCTACGCGATGAATCCCGCAAATCAGTGACTTATTAAAGTGTTTGTGCAGTATAGTCCTCATCTCCTCTAGCTTGGCCTTTAAAATTTGTTTAACTTTTTCCCTTCGCAAACGTTCGCCTACCGATTTATGTAGAATGTATACAAATCAGTGGGTGGTGTTCAAATTTGAAATAAAAACATCTGTAAAATGTACACAAAGCTAGGAATTTCTTGGTCTATAAGAAGTGTTGACGTGTTAAAAACGTAGTGCTCACAAGTGAACTGGAATGGATGGATTGACAGGCGCATATCTAAATTAACTATTATATCTACGAATGGATTGAATTCATAGGTATTCATTGTGCGCATTAGGAAAAAAGAAAAAGGAAAAATTTGTAAGAAACAAGTAAAAATGCCATAGTGGCCCACCATTAAATATAGACAGCGTTTCGCTTAGTAAAGACATAAAGCGTTATAGGAGCAGTGTTCGAAAATATGCACTGACCCGAATCATTTTCAATAGCTTGGTTCCTTGGGTCAAAACATGCCGATGTACCAAGTTTCATTAAAATATCTCCAAAATTACGGCCTGTAAGTTGAACACAAGCAAACAGAGGGCTTTATAAGCCTAAAAAAAATTGGGTCTATCTCAAGGCCTTCTATGTGTTGCATAAATCCGCATAAATTTAATGTGTTCTTATACCGACAGTGATGTAGGTCATAAGAATTCGTTGTCAAAACAACTTTCGCTAATTCCACGCAGATATGACTCATATCAAACTAAGACCAAATAAGAAAATTATTTGACCGAGTATTTATCCGTACCCGCGCCTTCATCTTAAAAAAAAGAACCCATCCATGCGAAATTTCAATGCTTTTGCCGGATTTGAAACTAACGTAGAACTAACTTTTCCCTAAGCGGAGTTGAGAGATTGGTCCTGCAGCGACGCGTTCTTCCGTAGATAAGTCCTAATTAAGTAGCTTTGACTAATACACTCCAGCTTAATCTAGCACGACACGCGATTGAAGGACATACGAGCTCGAAATAAAGTACGGTTTTGAGTGCTCACAATAGAAATGAAATTTGATTTTGCTTCAAATCGTTAAAAAGTTTAAGCCTATTACCTGCGATTTAAGGTTCGTTAATATTGAAAAGAGCATAGCCAACATAATAAGCCTCCACCCCCAGTAGTTGACAGGAAAATGCAAAAGAAAGTCACCTATTCGATATCGCGTCAAGACTATTAACTTTTTATGGTCGACAATTAATAACATATGCTTTTGCTTCTTTGATCTTTGTGATAGAATTTTCTTCGAAGACTTTCAAACAGATATTAACGACGAGATTTCCTCAACATATGTTGTAAACTTTTCCTATGTGAAATTCCGTGGCTTGAGAACGACAATTACACTTTCATTCTAAAAAATCAAAAATTTTCAATATCAATATAGGAATCTGAGTCAAAAAAGGTTAATAGAGGTTAACATAAGAATTTTTATGATCTTAGCTCTCAAAAATCATATGAATATCTTGCACAATTATATCGATTTTAGAATGAGTTGAAATTTTTAAGGAAGCGCGAGTAAAGTTTACTTAATTGGCGTGTGTAGAGAACACACCTTCTCGATAGATATATACAAATTAAGGACCACTCTAATGACCCGTATAATAAACTTGAAACTTTGCAAACGATCTTGGGGTTACATTACAACGATTATGAACACTTCAGGTACAGGTTTCGCGTTACACCCTTCAATAAACATTTATTGCTGCTCTCCGGTTACATTTGTTTAGATTACTAAAGTCGTAGTCTAAGCAACCTAAAGTCCTGACTCAAAGGTTTCTTGCATTGTAAAATTTTTGCCAAAGCTGGCTCGTGTTTGACATTAATTTTAAAAACAAGATTTAAGCTCTGAAATATAAATCGGTTTAAATAAATAAATAAAAAAGGACCAAATGATCTAAATTTATTTAGTTTACACTTTAAAAGTGTTCATTTATGTGATAGACAAACCGAATTGAATTAATTCATATCAGTATTGAAATGTTTAAGTAGATAGAGAATTATTCTGTTTTCTTTCTACACTTAAAGAAATGAATGAAGTTTTTGCAAGTACCTAATAGTACTCTTTTTGTATGATCCTAGAAGATAGGAAGAAAAGTCACTTTGATCGTATTTGAGATAGCTATCATATGAGGTGAAAATCGTTTGTGTGGATGAGTTAAATTTATTGAATGCTCTGTGAATACATAGCGTGTTATGCTTGATCGATTTGTTTGTTCAAATTCAAATTCGCACTTCTCTTTGGTTTAGTCCGTTCGATCGCAACAATGGAAAAACATTTTTTTTTTTTTTTTAAATTTATGTTACCTAATATAAATACTAGGCGATTTATGTTCACTATCACCGAACTTGTTAAAAATAATTTTATAATTTTCAAATATTACCTAAGTACAGAAATGGTAGAATTTGCCGAATTGAAGCGTATAAACGATACTCGAAAGCAATGCAAAATACGAAAAAAACGAATGAAAAGACTGGAGGAAAGGAATTTTTCGGACTATAAGACGCAGCTTTTTATATAGAAAAATAGAAAGTAATATTAAAAAATATTTTTTCCAGTAAATCGTCTCTAAATTTGAGGTTTGAAAGGAGTGACAAAAATAGTTCAGATGAAAGTAATACGAATCGTGACATACATTAATGAGACGGAAGGATCGAACGAAAAGACTCAAGGAAAATACATACCGTATATTGCGGACTATAAGAGGCAACTTTTTACATAGAAAAATGGACTCAAATTCTGGGTGCGTCTTATGGCCCGAAGGTAATATTAAAATATTTTTTCAATAAATCGTCTCTAAATTTGAGATTTGACAGGAGCTCGCACGAAAGTAATACGAGCGGTGACACTAATGAGACGAGTGATAAATAAAAATTTTGATCCGAAGGAAACATTAAAATACATTTTTCGAAAAATCCTCTTATAAATTTGAAGTATGTTAAAATATCGTGCAGTACGTTATATATTTAGATAAAATTTGGTGTTTAAATTAAAAAATTAATTAGATTAATTAATTCTGTTTTTTTCGTATAGAGAGTGTAAGGAAATCAATATCTTACGATTTACAATGATTCTGTCGATCACATTTAACAGATGCATATGAATATCGAAAACTTAAGTTTTAGTCTAGTGGGTATAAAAAGTGGTATGCGTGTGTGTGCATGCAATTGAGATGAGTGTGTATTTGTTTAGCATGCAAAGGGATTGCATCAAGTGCATTAAAACAAATCACTTTCATTAACGAAAAGTTCGATGTACGTGCAAAATTTTATTTCATTTTCGAATAAATACGGAAATAAACAAAATAGTACTTGCCGAGCAATCGATTAAAAATATTTAGACAAACGAAAAGAAAAGAAAAAAAAGAAAAGATATATATACTATATACTGAATCTAGCAAGTATTGAAGAATTAAATTATTTACAAAATAATTAAAATTTTAAAAATTATTTTTCAAATAAAATGTTCAAATCTTGTATTGAAAGTGATTCACGTTTCGGTCGAGGCCTTGTCACTACCGAGACCGTTACAAAAGGCGAAATTGTCGTTGAAGAAATACCGTTTGCCCGTGGCCCGAAACAAAATAGTGGCATTGTTTGCTTGGGATGTTATTGCAATTTACAATTCGACGACGACGGAGATTCCGTGGATCGTTGCAGCAAATGCGATTGGCCTCTATGTGCTTTCTGCACGGACTCGTCCGAACATCAATTCGAATGCAAGACTTTTGCCGATGCTAATGTTAGATTTGCTGGCAATGTTGGAGAAGACGGAGTTTGCTCGCAATTGGATTGCATAACACCTTTGAGGTTAGTAGAAAATTTGCAAAAGAAAATCGTTTATAACTTTTATACATATACACACACACACACACACACGTTAATAAATTCTATAGATGGCTAAAGTATCCCAGTTAAAGTTCAATAATATTAGTAACTTGTAATTACAATAAATTAATTTAAGCGTTGCTTGGGCAATGCTTTATGTGTGCAAATTAAGATAAATAAATCAACATATAGCCTGAACGGTGATCTGCGAAAATTGACATAACGTTTTCGGTCTCTGCTTTTCAAGGTGTGCGAGCAAAATCAACTCGCAAAGAAGCTGTCATTTTTTGATATTAAAAACATCCAGTCCAGAAGAAGCTTTTAATTTTCCCATTCGAAGTATTTTGGATAAATACCCTACATTGGTTCGTCTACCACTTATGTCTTAAGTTGGTGAACGCTACATCTATGGCTCTTGTCAATTTGACGGGTTTTTTGATTTTAAGCTTAAAAATTTTGGCTAACGAAGTAGATAAGTTTGGATCTTGTATATAATGCAGGAAACATATTCGTCTACTCTTTTTTCCCGGAACGAGCCCCGCTTTTTTTTGCTTCTAATTGTTATAAATTTATTTCTACGAAAACCCGTCAATTTCACAGATAATTGTTGTGGATCGTCGCAGTTCCCTGATGAACTGAAAATATGAGGCTAAAAAATAAGCTCGGCACTGCCCATAATGCAGGACCAACTAGAATAAACTTGATAAAGACAACTATACTGTAGACACTCGTCTATAACTTTCGATTTCGTGACTATGTGATCTGAAATAGTGCTGCCCAAATGTTCATCAAAGCCGCCTGCATGTTGGGTGGACAAATAGTCTTGATTGAATTACTGGAATATCCACCATTAATAAAAAAATACAGTCTAATTCAGTGCATTAGAATGAATCGGAAATAAATTGAAAATAATTTTGAAATGTGACGAATTTATGGTATGGTTCCGATGTTGTTCATTTAGTGTAGTTAACTTTTTTCTCATAGAACTCACAAGTCTTGACGTATTTTCTTCTGAACGAATTTTTATTGTAAGGTATTAACAATTGTCCACCTAATTCTCTTTTTACACGAAATCTTTTATACGCTATTTCTTAAGAACTGTGCGTCTGTCTTGTAAAAAGAGACTTAGGTGTATATTGTTGCCATACAAAGGCTTATTTTTGCAAGATTAATTATACGGTAGGTGGTCCAAAAAAATAATCTAATGGATTGAACAACAAAATATTGAGTCGACTAAAAAAAGGCTTCTGAACGAGCATTTACATGCCTTGCGGATGTTGTTGAATACACGATCGTAACGAGTGACTTTCGGCAGCATTTTTTTCTAATGAAATAGAAAAAGTTACGCTTCCTGCAAATGCTCATGGAAGAGCTGTGTTGTGCATACTTTGGTGTGGTTACTTCTGGAGCGATGTAAAGCTTAAAGAAAGCTAGCCCAATGACATAGACTAATCACGGTCATTATCTACTAATACTAATTAGGCGCTTACTTCGAGATTTATACAAATTTTCATTGTGATCACAGCATAAGAGACATTGAAGCTTCCTCTTCGGTTAATTTTTACAGCCTGCCTCAGTTGTGGTACATGAGGTATATGAAGTTTGCGGGCATGTACGCAATACTAAGAAGGACTTGAGATAGATCAATTTGTTATTATACCCACCTATTCAGAACCAATTTCTGGATCGATCTAAGCTAGTTTATCCGTCCGGCTGTCTAGTTTCATTGCGCTCAAAGTACAAACTTTTGCGATATTTTGATCAAATCGTACATATCGACCTGTTTTGGTCCAAAGAAGAACGCTATTGATGCATTGCATCAGATTACCATTTCGGCCACTTCCCATACAAAGCCTGATTATGAGTAGTCATTATCTGAACAACGTTGTTAAGCGCAGTGGTATAAGGTACTTAATGGTGTTTTTCCGTTCTTCGACGAAAGGTGCAATCTTGGGGCAAACATAAAACTTATTCATTATTGACAACAATATTTACAAGTTGTCATTATTTTAACTTGCCTAATTTCATAACTTTTCTATGCTTGCTGAAGGCCCATTATGCTTGTGGTCAGGCTCCGTCTGTGGCCAGTGATTATAAATATATGATAAAATTCGCAATTCTAACTCTATCTTCTTGCAATTTTGTAAGTTTTTTAATCATTCATCCGCCTGAGTGGCCGAGTAGGCAAGAGTCTCGACTAGCAACTCAATAGTCGTGGGTTCAAACCTCAAGTGCGGTAGAGTTTTTTAATAAAAAAGCCGATAGCCCTAGATGCTAGTGCTTTAAGACCTTAGTCTTAGAATTTATTCTCTGGCTAAATTTATAATAATAATAATAATAATAATAATCATGCAGCATCGAGGGGACAGAGAAAACTAAGTTGACTTAGAAACTTACTCTGTTAAAGAAAGCCTCTGATGTATGTCGGCGTGAATAACGTTCGCTAGATCGAAACGTTAGTATTATATAATTATATGGGTTGAGTTTGTTTGATGAATTGAATTTTTGTATTTATTTCAGATTCAATTCAATATCAATGTCACTTTTTAATGCGCCGCAGCCACCAACTGCAGATTGTTAGAGATTGAGTCGCAAAGTATATATGCTTTCCGTAGAATCTAAAATCTTCAGGTAACATAATGGAACGATTGATGCATGCCTGCTCCGAGCAAGCGCCACGGTTTTTAACCGCTTCACCGTAGAGACTCAGTTTCACGTGTTTTTAAAAATCAGGCAATAAATGTGTAACATTCTCTCTTACCTTTACCTTTCGCAAGCTAGCAATGGTTCTATTCTATTATTCGAAATATGTGACAATAATAAGAAGGTAGAAATAATTGCTATGATCTTTAGTCAAGATGATATTGTTCCAGTTTCGTACTTTCATTTAGGGCAAACAACCTTTGAATTCAACACAATTATATATGCGATGAATCGATCATTTTCTAAAGCTCATAAAGCTATGTTATGTCCAACAAGAGCAGCATCAAACCAATAAAATGCAAATGAATTTTGTCTATTTAAAAACTTGTACGTGGGATAGTGAAAAATATTTGAATATTTGTTGTTTCCTTTTGGTCAGTCATAAAAATGCCGTATAAAGGCCCGCATGTTAAATTAAATCGCACAGAAATACAATATAATTCTAAACTAGGACGTTACTTAGCAAATGGTTCGGAATCTGTAAAATCGCGAGATGTTATTCTACTTGAAGAATTACCTTTCGCAATAGGACCAAAATGCAATAGTCCGGTACAATGTTTGGAATGTTATAAATATGTTGCTTGCAACAGTATCGATAATACCGATCGTTGTATTTCCTGCGAGTGGCCGTTATGTGATGAATGCCAAAATCGTGACGCGAAATATCATGGACAAAGAGAGTGTAAAATATTTGTGGAAGCCAAAGCAAAATTTTACAATATGAAAAGTGATCAAAACGGTTGTCCGCAATTAGATTGTATAACAACTTTAAGGTATCCGATGGAGTATCGCATGAAAAATCTCTTAAAATATTCAAATTTCATATTTCATTTTTGCATCTCTCATTCTGACGTGAAGAAGAAGAAAAAGCTTTCATTTCTTTCTACGCAAGCAACAAGACAATGCACATATGCTAGTTTTATTATGCGTTATGACAGTCGGAAATGACCGGTTCGCATATTCCTTAGACTTATATATACTAGTGTCGATTTGAGTATATGTTCGAATGTCTGTCTATACTTAATTACAAAATCTGGCTTAGAAATTTGAAAAGTGGTTCTTAGAATTCTTTTTGATTTCCGTGGAGAAAAATTGAATCACTCATCGAAACACAGGGAAAGCCCAACAGACTGAAATAACTTTGAAGAAATCGAAACTAGAAAGCTAGAGCTACGTTTACGTTCCACATGAAACTGGTCGTGCTCGACCCAGCAACGCATTTGTAGCAATTTCCACTCCCTACCCTCAAGGTAGGGTACACATAGTATATTTCTTTCTTTTTGTTTTTACTAAATAACAAGTATTATCGATTACATATTTTCTTATATATATAAACTAATTCTAAAAAGTGCTGGGCACACTCATATTTTTAGAATTTCAGAGCCAACATAAAAATAAGTTAACCTCGTTTCTAATATGATGAATTTCGTTTCAAATTCAGAGTTCTTCTTGCGAAAGAGGCAGAACCGGAGAGATGGGAACAGGAGGTGGCATCTATGGAATACCATGATAAGGAGCGTCGTGAAAACACAGACTTTTGGCATGCAGATCTTGTGAATATCGCCCAGTACTTGAGAGGTCCTTGCAAGTTGGGCGAGCGGTTTTCCGAAGATCTTATAATGCAAGTGGTAGGCATATTGGAGATCAATGCTTTCGAAGCCCGTACCGATCAAGGTTATGCCCTTCGATGTTTATATCCCGTAACTGGAATATTGGCACATAACTGTGTACCAAATACCACTCGTAGTATCTATCCCAGCGAAGATTTCAAGTGCGTTCCGCAAGCATGTAATAGTTAATAAAAAAAAAAAAAAAAAATTAAAAATTTATTTCCTTTTCTTTGATAAAGGATACGATTACGTGCCATGGTTGATTTAGATCCTGGTCAACCATTACATCATTCATATACTTACACTTTGGAGGGCACTGCCCAACGGCGAGAACATTTAAAGGCAGGGAAATATTTCGAATGTGATTGCGAACGTTGCAAGGATCCAACAGAATTGGGGACACATTTTAGCTCATTTAAATGCAGTAAATGTGACGATGGTTGGCTTTTGTGGGTTAATCCTTTAGGTAGCAACATTAATTGCTTATATAAAATTTTCTTTTCAAATTCATTAAAAAAGTCTTTTTTTTAAATATATTTCCAGATTCGCATACAGAATGGAAATGTACAAATTGTGATTTTAAAACTACTAATGAGGCTGTGCAAAAGGCCATAACTGTAATGCAAACTGAGGCAGCCGAAATTCAAGCGATGGATATGAGTCCAGAACGTTTGGAAGAAACTGAGAAATTGTTAAAAAAATATCGTTCCGTTTTGCATCCGTTACATTTTATTCAGACATCGTTACGACAAAATTTAATTGAAATGTATGGGCGCGTAGAAGGCTATGAAATGGTTGAACTGCCCGATGTGCTATTGGAGCGTAAAGAAGAATTATGCCGGCAAGTTTTACGTGTTATGAATGCCTTCGAGCCCGGCTTAAGTCGTTTCAAAGCCATGATCCTCTATGAATTGCATGTACCCATAGTTTTATTAGCAAAAAGTGCTTTTTTGGCGGGCATATTGACCGGCTTAAAATTAAAAGAGAAACTTTCAGAAGCTATCGATATATTAAAAGAATGTGTCGACGTACTTCAATATGAAGACCATCAATCTCATGAAGGAGTTCTGGGTTTAGTGGCCAAACAAGCTATGAACCAATTAATCCAAAGTATTGAAAATTTAGGAGCGCAAGAGGAAATTAATGACAACGATGACAGGGGAGATGAAGACGATGATGACGATGATGATGATGAGAAAAACGATGATTCGAGTTAAATTAGAAAGACAGTAAATAAAATAATTCATCTTTTATAGTTAAATAGGATTCCTTTGGAAATAAATTTTTTTTAATAAATTTTAATATTTTAATTATATGCTCCCAACCATTGAATAAAGATCAAGTATGAAAATTAACAATAAATCAAAATATAACAATAAATTGAGATTATTTTTTTTTTTGGAAAATGTTTAGTTTCTTTCTACATATGCGACCAATTAGGCTTACGTCTCTTCATAAAACTGCGAGTCGGTTACATTTTAGTTTTTAATCATCTTCTGTCATATAAGTCGAATTTTTGAATTGTTGATAAATTTTTAAAAGCATTTATAGAAGAATATATATTAAGATTAACTTTAATTACTCGCCGATACGCTTGCTCCGGTGGTAACTCTTTGCAAAAGAATTCTTTCAACCAGTGCTAAAACGGCGCGACTTTTACTTTTTATTGATATAATAATCTTTTCCATCTCCTCATCAAGATCAGCGTCAGGAACGACACGGCTAAATAGACCTTATTATTATTAATATTATTATTTTAATTTTAGACTAATGAATTGAATTCTTAGACTAAAAAAAAGGCATTGAGCACTAGCAACACAGGCTATCGGCTCTAATTTAAATAAATGGATATTAGATAATAAGCTTAGTAGTATTAATAAAGTAAAATATTGAATTGATATTCTGTTCTGAAGCTGATTGTAGAATGTTCAAAGGGTTAATCGTTCCAAATGCAATACTTCTAGCCAAGGAAAAGTTGAGGCAGTCGCAGAGAATGTGCTCCCAGAATAGAGGGCTGCGCCCCTCCATTCATATCCGATGTGTTTTCGATTCTATACGCCTCGGGATAGTCAAATGGAATTACAAATGATGTATGCTTATACGAAAAGCGCTCTGCAGAGAGAGATCAATCTCACGCGTGTAGGTGAATTGTCAGAAGAATGGCTAAAAGAAAAGCAAAAATAAGACAATTTCCCTAATTTTTTATATTATAAGAAGTACAAGTACTTCGTCCTTACGCTCCTTACGCATTTACTTGCATATATTATTGAAATATATGTTTTTTCTTCTTAGCAATGATACTTTGTAATTCCAATATATAGATACATATTATAAGATTAATAAAAAAAAAGATTTTTCTAATCCCCGAGATCTTAAAGATCCCCGCCCACGTTGAAAGTATAACTTTATTAATGCCAGTAACAACCTCAGAGTTGTTACTGCCATCTCACTCTCACTAATCTGTCTGTGTGTAGTATCGCAAACTTTCCTATCGTCCTCGATGGATAATGCGATATTGCCGTCCTTAATTATTCTTCAGCTCCCCCGTTTGTTGCATTGTTGGAGTTGTGTGATTATTTTTCCCAAAAGTGTTGAATAAGATGTTGTAAGTACTGCCATCCATTGAGAAGATTCTGCTTTATTTTCAATAAAGTTTTCTAATTTTACTATTGCTGTTAAGTTTCGCATGACCAAGAAATGAAGTTAGTAGATCTGTATCAACTTGATGTTTGCTACACAATGGACATGAATTTAAACGTCCTTCAATTTGGCATAGTGTTGTGAACATTCCTTCATAAGTGACCGACGAATCCTTGGGCGTACACCTTACATGATATTTGTAAACTTATCTTCTGCTTTCTATAAACTTCCGTCGCTAGATCGAGAGATATGCCAGTGGACAACGTTATCTATTTTTACATATTTTACATGCTTATTCTTTAAAGTCACCAAATTTTACATGCTTATTCTCAGATTCTCAGGCAATTTTTATTGAAAAATGTAAACAAACGTGTTCAAACGTATGTTGGTTAAATGATTGGCTTATGCTGGGCTAACACTTTTTGAATCGGTCTCAACGGTCGTCTGAATGAAGTGACACTAACCTATTTTTTTAAATCCCTTTTAGATCAATATAACCACTACATTATGAAAAAGAAGCAGGGTCGGATTAAAGACTTTAGAATTCAACCGGCAGAAGACAATATTTCCACAAAGGGTTTTTTCGACAATAGTAGAGTTTGAAGTCACAAATTTATTTGCTTGGTACATCTTAATTCAACATCCAAAAAAAAAAAATTCTAGTTTTCTCGGAGCTTTCGGAGAATGGCGTGAGATTTCAAGCAAAACATTCGTTCAGCTAATTTTTTTTCCTCCAACATATTCTAGTAGCCGTTTAAACACCTATTAAGCTAAAAAAAATTGATTTTGTTAGTTCTTACAAGTAGGGAACCCCTTGAGGCAAATCGAAACGAGTGAAAATATGTATTGGTAAATTTTGTGATATAAAAACAGAATAACATCTTGTACCGAGGGTTTTTTTTTTTGTTCTTGCTGTAGTGTTAATATACAAGTAATGAAATTAGTATACATTTTTTTTCTTTAACTTTTTAATTGAAGATTTAATACTATTTGCAAGTACCAAGCACAAATTATTATGCGATAGTATTTTTGTCTTTCTTTTTGTATTTTAGCACTTATATGAGCTTTCAAAACAAATCAAATTCATGCGAAAAATTAATAAATTCAATAACACAAGATTTTGATTTAATTTTCTTTTTGATATATTTGAAATTTTTTTTTACAATTTACAAACATTTCTTTCTTCTTAAATTTTTATAATTTTAATTCAAATCTTTTCCCTCATATTTGAATTCCACACTTTTTTTGTATTAAAATAAAACGACGATGGGTGCGTTAACATACCTGAAAAAAGTGCAGCTGCTGCAATTGGAAAAAATACAGCTTATTATAGGGATGCAGTAATAATAAACAATAATAAATCGTAGATGTTGAGTCAGTCAATGTTTACTTTATACATATTTGTAGTAAAAAAAACAAAAAGAATCCCTACAACTTATATATTAGGATTAAATATATATTCAATAGGTAAGTCACTGACTTTATTTGCATTGTTAAGGGAGTTGTCAACGCATCGTCTTTTTGTAATTAAAGGTTCACCATCGCTTTCATCCGAATCAAAGTCACTTTCATCAGAATTGTCTCTACTTGAATTGTGATCGACTTCGTCTGCATCATCATTCAAATTCTCTCTTCTATTCCTACTCTTACGTTTTCTTGGGTTTGTGTTAACTTTGCAATTGTATTTCTTCCAAAATTTGGGAGGTTGGGCATATTCCATCAGATTGGGAAATTTTTTAGCCAAAGCCTTACATACACCGTTAAAAGATTTTTCAACTTCTGGATCAATAGGTTGATTCAAGTTTTCATATATGGTTGGTATAAATATCAATGATTTCTCCATTACTGTCATCTGATTAACAATAAAGCTATTAATAAGTTACAAAATCAGTTTTATTTCTGTTATAAAATAATTACCGCTTCAGGCATTGTCGTTTCTCGCTTTCTTCTCCCCCTACCAATGCCTGGATTTTTAGCCGCGTTTTTACTTGCAGCTTTGCTATTTCCTCCTCCTTCTTCATTTTCAACTATTTCGTTTATATCTATCATATCTTCAGCTTCTTCTTGAGTGTCGTTACTTGACTTTTGCTCTTTGGCGAGTTGACATACGCGTTTTAATATATAAAAGATATCCTTTATTAAAGCTATGCCCTCGGGAGATTTCAGCAAAGGATCATGCTGAGATTTTTCTGCAAAAAAGATTACGCGTTTTTCAAATATACGGTTAATCAACCGTACATCACTTGTGATACACACAGGTTGTGCTGATGTATGCAACGCCCAGGACTTGGAATAGACTCACCTTTTATTACACCTATCGATTCAGAATCACTTTCTAAATGGGTTTAAGATGTCTGTCCGTCTTCTTATCTTCAATTTATAGCCCGTAATGTAGAGTATTTTATGGATAGCCGTGACCCACTATAGTACTTTTATTGTGTTCAAAAAATAGTAGCTTCTGTACTGTCTTTAAAACATACGTACCTCACGTATGTCTTATAAACCTTTGATAATAGCATTGTTTTATTACCATAGAAACCTTTTAACATTTTTTTTTAATGGATCATTTCAATCACAAAAAAGAATTAAAAATTTAAAAATATTGTGTGGGTTTAGCCGCTTTTTACCGCACGACCATCCATACAACAGACGTGGAAATTTTTATCATTGTAACATATCTGTTGTAATATATAATATAATATGTTTGAGTAATGAACAAAAAAACTCAGCTTTTTGACTTTTGAAAAATAAGATAATCTAAGTTTAAGTTTGATTAGGGGCGTGGTCTTTCAACGGTTTGGTCTGTTCTCAGTAACGACGTGTCCGCAAGAACTTTCAGGGTTTTTCCCAATATTTTGTGTTTTAACATAGGCGTAATGTTTAGCACACAAATCCACAGAGACAAACTTAAACATACTTAAATCGGTTCGGAATTTGATGGCGATTAAGAATATATATACATTTTATAAAGTCTCTGAAGTTTATTTGTGTACGTTGCAAACGTTTCGACAAAATGAATACACCTCTACCTTTAGGCGGCGGTAGGTTTACGAAAATATTTTGAAAAATTCAACTCTCTTACCGGCTACAAGTTTCAATTGGCCAAAATATAATATCATATTAATATCATCCATGTCCTTTAAAAAATGTTCATACAAGAGCTGACGACTTTTATGATGACTTTCACCCTTCAGCGGGGATTTTATATGAGCCTCCGCAAAACTATCCAAACCATCGAAATTCTAAAAAGTTATAATGAAACTCAAAAAATGAAGCATAATTTAGTGATCTATCTTAATTGACAAACCTTGAATTCATTGAACACAAATGGACATTCTATTAAACATTTTTGAAATAAAGTTGGATTCTTTTTCGACAAGAACTCGCTGAAGAAATCGGAAGCTCTACTTGAAATTTCTTTACTAACATCCAAAAGTGTGGAAAGTAAGCATAATAGTAAGGAACCACGCAATTTTAGCTGATCTTGCAGCACCAATTTCTCGAAACACTTAAACGTTTCCAAACGATTTACATCATATGGAGAATTTAGTTTACACAGTATTCTATCCGTAATATTTTCAACAATTTGTGTATGCTTTTTACAGAGATCTGATAACGCCACTAGAATTGTATTAATTATTGGCGGTCGATCAATTAATTTCAATATGTGAGCATATAACATACAAGTCGTGCGTGCAACACAACTATCACGTAATGATAAGCGGCCAGCTAACAATATCATTGAGTTAAATAAGCGTTCATTATCCAAATGAAGTTCAGATTCTTTCAGTTTTGCGCATTCTGTGATAAACTTGTGTATAAACGATATTATTGTTTGATTCGGCCTGAGACGAGTTTGAAGATTAACTTCTGTGAAGGCGTATAGGTGACACATTAACGTGTCACGATTATCTGGAAAGTCTGAAATTCCTTCAAGTATTGCTTTTTCTAAATGCTCATGCAAATCTGTTATCCATGGTTTATTGGCTGTATCCGTAGGAGGTTGTTTCCGTTTTTCCGTCATTTGTGAACGATTGTCAATGAGTAGAAGAAAATCAAAGGCTTTGCCAACGATTATCGGTAACATTTGTCCGTCTTTTATATGGCTAAGTATATGATTAAAGGCATGATTTAGAGCAGTATATGAAAAGTCCTGTATACAGCTGGCCAAAACTTCTATGGCTATCAACATGTTTTGCTCTTTATTCCACTAAAATTAGAATAAAAAAAGTAAATAACTAATAAATAAACATCTCTTTTCACGCACAAACATTTAATATGATTACCGATTCTAATGAAATGAACTGATGTATTAAAATATCCGGTTCTTTACTCTTAATTTTTCCAGATATAAAATTTAAAACAATCCAAGCTTCCGTTGAATTTGACGTTAATAAATGAGATTCAATGATGCCTATGATTTGAGGACTAAATAACAGACGCTTTGACTTTAAAGCAAGAAAGAAAGGAGTCGGATTCAAAAGTCGCTTACCTTAACATGCGTTGATGCAAAGCCAGGTGAAAACAGTTTTGCAAGTAGAAACGTGATTGAGTAGATAGCATCGTTCTTATTATTACCCACGGCATAAAATGTTCCGGACGGTTCGATTGATCAATGCCTTTAATGTTTAATAAAACTCTCGAACGAAAACACTGAACAAAAGGAAAACAAACAGATTAATTTATGGAATCTTTGAAACATACTTATTTAGAGACCGACCTCCATAGCCAATTCGGTGTTCTTGGGATCGTTGTCATGTAGCATGGGAGCTATGATTTTGCACCAAACAAATATTACGGGATAACAATTAGGATATGATTCTAAAATCGCATCCAAGGACAATAAAGTTTGTTTACGCACTAATGCTGTGGGTTCTTCTATCAACTTTGCCGTTTCCTATTTAACCAGAAAAAAATTGCCATTCCAATTTTATGATAATTTGAATCAATCGCCATGCTTACCGTTACAAAATTTGTATTAAATATTAATAAAGGATTTAGTTTCACTAACTGTTCCATAAACATGATGCCAGCTCTTCGTATATACGACATTGGACTTTGATAGAGATATTCGAAAATATGTGAGGGCATCTTTGATATGCACGATTCTACAATTCCATGGCCTTCAAAAGTGTATTGTGGTTGCTGTCCGTTTGGTTTTTCAAATCTTATCTCATTTTTACCGACTCTTGGCTCATCCGGTAAATGAACGTTCTCGTCAAAAAATGTTGTGAATTTCACACATTCATTTAAGATTTGTTGGGCAATAGGCGAGCCTCTTGTTAAAACCAAATTTAAAGCTTGTACTGCTTTTAATTTAATATTATTATTTTGATCCTGTAAACTATCGATTAATTCTTTAATTAGTAATACTTCTCTTGGGGTGTTAGATACTTCGTGACGAAACATCTGCCAATCAACTTTTGATTCGGTTTGAAGAATTTTTGCAATCAGATCGATAGCACGGGATCGTATCATTACTTCATCAGCATAGATAGCTTCGCATAAAAACTGTACACAAGATTCATTGCACTTTGTAAATAGATTGGCGTCATATTTGGCTGCATATTCCAAAGCTTTTTGTACTTGATCACCTTTCCAGGATTTGACAGGATTCGTAACAATACATTCTATATAAAAATTTAGCACTTTTACCAATAAGCGGGGATATTTGGCTATACATTTAATAAACCAATCCGATATGTGTTCGCATTCATTGTCCGCTGTATTACAGTTTCCGTTTTGGCTTTTCGGTCTGGACGGATATGTGTGAAGGAAAACAGTCATATTCATAAGTTTCAAGAGTGTTTGTTCGGGTTCACCATTGTGGGCGTTAATCATTTCTTCAAATATTTCAAAACATTTTTGATGTAAATTCACAGCATCTGAAAACAATTTTGGTTATTCAGTAATTTCAATTTAGATTACTGTTATCTATAGCAAGAAAAGTCAAACAAGTCGATGCATAGCAAATCGGATTTGAATTATTTTCTGGATGGGTTAAATATCTGATATCTGTATATTTTTCAGCTACAGATTCCAATTTTTATGAAATATCCCTACTCTATACGGATTGAACTCGCCTATTCCTTACATATAAAAGTTAATAATACAAATAAAATTTTTGAGAAGAAAATGGAACGAATTTGCAAAATTCGTTCATCAACCTTGCACTTTTTCAAAACATCATTTGAAATATATCTATTTTTCTGCATTTTACAAAATTTCTAAAGTTTATTGAAATCTTAACTTTGAACTGGTGGCGTAAGCTATCCAACGCCGAATTATTACATTCCAAATTGGTATTTAAATAACAGAGCATCTCCACTTTTAGAAGGTGTTGAAACAGCGCTTTCCATTTAATTGCTGGAACCAATTTACCACACCAAAGTGCAAAATTAGGGTGGTAATCACGTAGCTGAAATATAGAATTCACTCTTATATTCAGCCACAGCTGAATGCACAAGCACAAAACTATATTGTTCATACGTAATTTATATACTACAATACTTCTTCCCTGAAGCAATTTCAATACTTTCTAATTGAGGGGAATGGCAGGTTAAGTTAAACACTCTGCACAAAATATATGCATTGTGCTTTGATACTGTGATGCAATACACTAAATAAATTGAACAGTTTTCCATGATTTGACTATTACAACAAAATAATATGGTTTGAAAAGCAGACCGTAAATTTTGTTTAGATAAACATTAATAACGCAAAAAAAATTATTTGCAAACTAACTTTTTTTTTAACAATTAACTTTCATAAAACCGGAAGGTAGCTACTAGAATTTCAAATTTTAACACAAATGGAAGCGACCAGTTTAAAATCATATGGTGTTTGAAATATTAAGCATATGATCTTATTTTATTTTCATGAATACAACCCTGCTTTTCTTTTCAATGCAAATGCGTCAACAAATTAAAATTTTGCCGAATGTTTACATAGCTGCAATAGTGCATGCCGGCTATATGTTTTGATATATATATATACACCGGCAACCAAATTAAAATTTTGGCAGTTAATACATGATGCACTCCTTGTGTTCGGCGCTTTAAGTTTTATGTGTTTTTATTAACCAGTTGTCATATGTAAGAGTTTGTTTTCAATTTTTCTGACATCTTATTCGAAAAGAAATATTTAGTCATTATTTTTATTAACGAAAAAAAGGCGAAATAATTGTTCAAATTTTCTTAAAAATTTACGGTAATGTTGTCAGTTTTGAAGCATTGTAACTGGAAAAGTTCTCGAAATGCTAAATGCCTCGTTGCAATATTGCGTGCAATGAGTGAAGGGCCGGTAAACGATACGCCGAAGAAACCGGAACATTATGATATAATTATTGGTGGCGGGGGCTTGGTGGGAACTACTTTAGCAGTTGCTATAGCTAAAAATAAAACATTGGCGGACAAGCGCATTTTATTACTGGAGGGTGCGCCACCATTTAAAGGGTTCGATGTAACAAAACCTTATAGCAATCGGGTGTCAGCAATAAATAAAAAAACCGTCGAGTTATTCGAGTCTATAGGAATCTGGGAGCGAATAACTAACGCTCGCATAAAGCATATCAAACAAATGCAAGTTTGGGAATCAAATAGTGATGCCTTAATACAATTTCAACATGATCATTTCGCCGAAGACGTCGCTTGCATTGTGGAGAACGATTTAATATTGGATGCGGTGTATACGGAATTAAAAAATTCAGCACCCAATGTTAAAGTACGTAATAAATCACAAATTATGGAGGTGAAATTGCCTTTAGGGAAAGGCCAATCGTGCCCGGAGATTAAGCTACGGAGTAATGAAAAATTTAGCTGTGACCTCGTTATTGGTGCTGATGGTGCCAATTCTTTAGTGCGGAAAGAAATGAATGTTGATGTTTTTTCAATTGATTACAAACGAATGGGCTTAGTGGCAACTTTAGAGGTAAGCGAAGCTGGCGATAATTCCGTAGCATGGCAACGGTTTATACCTACTGGTCCAGTTGCTTTGCTACCCTTATCCGAGAAATACACGTCGCTGGTTTGGAGCACTACAATGGAACATGCGAAATTTTTAAAAGATGCCCCACACGATGAATTCGTAACTAAGCTAAATGAGGCCTTCTGTAAGGAATACCAAAAAAACGATTTCATTGTAAAAGCTATTAATGGCTTGAACTCTTTAATGGGTCGATCTGGAGGGAATATGCGACAATATCCACCACGTGTGCATAGTGTTTTAGAAGGTTCCAGGGCTACGTTCCCGCTTGGCTTTTTGCATGCGTCATCTTATGTATGTTCTGGCGCTGCCTTAGTAGGGGATGCAGCTCACCGATTACATCCGTTAGCAGGACAAGGCGTTAATTTGGGATTTAGTGACATATGCTTGTTAGTCGAAACTTTAGCAGAAGCTGCCTATTCAGGCGCTAAACTTGGCGACAAGCATTATTTAATGAAATACGAACAAAAAGGCTTAGCCAAGAATGTCCCCATATTAATTGGAGTGCATGGTTTACATACTCTTTATTCGACTACATTAAGTCCAGTTGTTTTATTGCGCAGTCTTGGCTTGCAACTGACCCACAATATACCACAAATTAAAAATATATTCATGAAGAGAGCTATGGGTTATAATTAGAGAACCAATGAGCGAAGGACCAGTAAAATTAGATATAATAATTTGTACACATTTAAAAATACAAAAGGAATAAATTCAAAATGCAGTTCTACTTACACGCATTTGCATATCCTTTTTCATGATTTAAGTACTGTATATCTATTAACTTCCTGAGTATCGCGTTTCGAGTACCTTGATGGTCACTCAGATGAACATATCGTAAAACCAGTTTCAAATCATCACATAATGTCGAAAACTGAAGCCACAGGCTAACAATCTGCTGATGAGACGCCTGCAGCTGTAATCTAAATTCGGGATTTTGTATACGTTCAATATGAGCAAACACTTGTAGGCAATGAGTTATAATATCCTCATGAAAGATGTGGTAACCCTTGGCACCTGGTATTGTTAGTGACAAGAAATATACATCTACCACCAGTAAGGATATTTTAATATGAGCTTGTTTCATAGGTGAAACCTGCAATAAACCACCTATTGCATAAACGAAGGCCAAGTATGAATCACGCGGCACAGCTTTGATTAGCTGATCCCAACAATCGTACGTATTATCATAACTTTCGCAGGGATCCGTTCGAAGAGAACGAATTGTTGTGCATAAATCTAATAATAAAAAACCGATTTGATCATTGGCAAGAGTTTTCTGTATAAGAGGTAAATTCATCAGCTGCACTGATGACTCCTCCGTTTCGTTAGGCGCAGTTGTTATCGTGTTTTTAGTCCGTTGCGCTTCGTAAATTTCTTCAATTTGTTCCCAAACCAAGGCATGATCAAGAAATTCATTTAACTTTTGAAATATTACGATCAATTCAGACATTTCTTACTATATTTGTTTATTTTTGTCTTTATTTCTTCTTCTTTTTTTTTGTCGGCACTTTTGTAAGTGTTGCCGCATTTCTTTTTTCTGTTTAATGTTACACTGTACAAATTTTTCATACAAAAATGATTATTTTTAATTTACTGCTATAAAAATAGTTATTCCAAAAAAATCTTGACACGGTAACGTTGACGGCTAAAATAGATGCCCTTCGCAATTAAATTGGTGAAAAACGTTATTATTATTATTATTCGTTTAGACCGAAGTTATAAATTCTAGGAATGAAAGCGGGATAAGCACTAGGTACTAAAACTATCGGCTATTGTAAAGAATAACAGGGTTTTTCATGAGCCAATTACTTTTGCTAAATTTGAAGCTAGCTGGTTCTAAGGGTTTTTATGCAAAATTATGCCTTCACATTCTTTACGTCCGTGTCGAAATCGGTAAATAGACTACAATTGGATCACAACAAAACGAAAGAAATAGGAGAAATTAGAAAAATTATTGTATAATTATACAAATGCAATGGTAAGCATACTTACTTATATATGTAATGATCAATGTGATCCAATCCTCACAAATATTTTCAGTTAAGTTACGTGCAGTCAAAACCGTAGACTCTGTTCCAAACACAGTTTTTTCAAACACAGTGCAGATATACATCGCATTTATTAACCTATATCACTTATTAAGTTACATGATTTGTCACCTTTTTGAATTTTGTGTGAAAAAACTTTCACAGATTTATTCTTTTAGGTTTGTTCCGATTTTGGCAATGCGAAAGAGAGACGCAGAGGTAAGTTTTATTGTATTTTATTTGTATTATTATTATTATTTTAATTTTAGACTAATGAATTGAATTCTTAGACTAAAAAAAAGACATTGATCACTAGCAACACAGGCTATCGGCTCTATTTTATTTGTAATAATATTTAATTCTTTCTTTTCAGTTATTTTTTTCAAAGCGGCGAGCGTGCACGATACGTATAAATACTGTTAAGCTGGGGACCGCTTTGTATAATGACTATCTACCTTCTTATCTTCTTATTATCTAGAAAAGATATTGATATCTTATTAAAATTATTGTGGTTATATGCAGTTTCTAAATTTTTGTGGGGTTATTCTTACAAGAAATTTTTTAAATGGATTATTTTTCGAAAAGAAATGCTATAACTCAGATTTATCTGTGAGGTGGCTTTTCTAATTTATATATTACACGAGATTTTCAAAAGACTTGCAAAGTTTTTATATATAAATAATTGCAAGACCGATTAATATCAGCTGACGAATTGCAGTACTCACTAATATTTAAACATATTTGAATACCGCAAACAGTACTGTAATATTTAACAGCAGGTTTAACTAAATTTGACGTTTAAAGAGAACATTTTAGCTGACGTGACAGCAGAGAGTGACTGAATAAGTGAAAATTTTATATTTTCATGAAAAATTATGAAAATAATAAAAATTCAGTCTAAATTAATTGGGCAAACAAAAAAGCAAGGTGTGAATAAAATAAAACAAATATGAATGTATAGGCGCTTAAAGAAAGCTGCGCTTGACTTGCGAGTAAACACGAATAAAAAAGTAGAACAAGTTTTTAGTTTCAATAAGAGACATAAACTGAAATTAGGTTTTTAGGAAACCTACCTATCTAACACGAATGGAGGAGAATGATGGAATTTCTACAGAACTATTAAACTGCAATTCGCTATACGAAAGCGCTTAAAAGTTTAAAGAAAAGTGAGCCATTTGTAATCAATCGGACATCATCTAATGGGTAAAAGGTGAAATACTGACGATTGGGTGTAGGCTTTTGTGTAAATAAACAATTGTAATTTATGCATAGTAGAAATTAGCGAATTGCTTATATTCAAATATTCAAGGACGCAATATATAAACAATTCTATGTTTAGAGAAATTATACGGAAAAATGATATATATATTCAATATCGTGTATTTGCAGATAAACAATTTCATCGTTAATAACATTGACTTTGCAAACGCGAGCAGATAATTGAAGATGTCATCGATGTCGAGCATTCAAAACACAGCAGAAATGCCTGAGGTACAGAAACGTTTAATTACAACAGAATCTACTGCTGATGAATTGGAACTGAACGGAGTCGCAACTAATGAAGAAAATACAAAAAATGGTAAACTTACCGCGGCAACGTCAACAACAAAAATAACTGCTAACCATATTAGAACTACAGCTGCCACTTCCACCACCGGCACGTTCATGAAATTAAAGACGTATCTTTTGGCCTTAAGACCATGGTCATTGTCTGCCAGTTTAGTGCCTACATTGCTCGGTTCCGCCCTGGCGTTTCGTTCGCAATGGTCTGCTGACTTTTCATTTATTACGTTTTTTCTGACTGCATTTACAGTAGTCACTGTACACTGCGCCGGCAACATTGTAAATACCTATTTTGACTTTATCAAAGGTATTGATAAACAAAAAGCCGACGATCGCACTCTCGTGGATCATATACTCACCAAGGATGAGGTAAGTCTTTGAAAATTTCAAAAGATTCATCTCGGATAGACTGTTGGGATATCTTAAAGAAATCGATTTCTCCAAAATATTATCTACAAGGTTTCAGAACAACATACGTACACCATTCAATTCTTCTAGTAGTCTAAAAAAAAGACGATAGTTAACTTGAGAGATACTTACAATAATAGAAATTTAAGGAGAAAAAATGCCAATTTTCAAATATCTACAAACAATGTACAGATGTCGTGGTCCTTTTCGGGGCCGAATTAAATGCACTATTTTTTTATTAGTCTAAAAGTTCGATTTGCCATTTCAAATGCATTGCATCAACAGTATCACGTAGTTGCTATCGTCCTTCTCTCCTCCTCGTATATTCGCTACAAAGACAATATAAATTTTCTTTTTTTGCAGGTGGTGTCGCTTGGGGCTTTACTTTATATGGCTGGTTGTGTTGGTTTCATTTGTTTGGCTGTATTGAGCCCAGCTAAAATGGAACATCTGGCTTTAATATACTTCGGTGGATTGTCATCGAGTTTTCTTTATACCGGCGGTATTGGTTTCAAATATATAGCACTTGGCGATTTAGTAGTATTGATACTATTTGGTCCTATTTCGGTGCTCTTCGCTTTTATGTCACAAACTGGGCATGTGGACTGGAAAACCATATACTATGCTATACCATTGGCCTTAAACACAGAAGCGATTTTGCATAGCAATAATACACGTGATGCGGATAGTGATCGTAAGGCAGGCATTGTTACTTTGGCCATATTAATCGGTCGCACAACGTCTCATGTTTTATACGCGCTCTTGTTATTTACACCCTACAGTATTTTTGTGGTATATGCCTTGAAGTACTCATTGTGGTTTCTATTACCTTTAGTGACAGTACCTCAGGCATTTCGCATCGAAAAGCAATTTCGCAATGAGCTGACAATGAACAATGTGCCGCGACAAACAGCTAAGCTGAATTTTTTTTTCGGCATTTTGTATGTAGTGGCGTGTTGTTGCGCCAGCACACTGCCTAGTTTTAATTATACAAGGCATCAATAAAATGAATTACAGGTTAGAGGCTACACGCAAAGGAATTAAAACAATATTAAGTTTATTGATTCTCGAAAAGGCTCTACGTACATGCTTATATACAGTAAGGTACTTTAATGTACATTAATCAATAAAAATGTACTGATTTTTTTTTTTTTTAAATAGTTTTAATACTAATGAAATATAAATTTATTTCGAATTTCTTCGTTCAAGGAGTTAGTGCAAAATTTAGGGAATTTTTTTATTTTCTTTTTTATACACATTTATATTAACCGATATGGAGAAGTAAAACTAAATATCATTTACATATATTATAGGATACAAGAGGAATGTTTACAATTTTATTTTGCTATCATTAAAAAATATTCTTAACAATGACGAGTGCAGCTAAAAAAAATATGTGTTTTAATTCTAAACGTTAATTCATATTATTTTTACATTTGGCTTTGCTATCATTTTTATTATCTATTTAGAAATTTCGAAACGAAAGTAAAAATCAAAAAGCTGGATCATTTCTGTTTTTTGTTTTCTTTTCTTCCTTTTAACTTTACATAACACGCACTTGTTAAAATAACACAAACGCATGTTCTGAAAAGAAGATTCTTAACAATTTATGGCATAATATGAGTAACTAATCACAAGCAAGTTGTTAACGAATAGAATACTAACTAATAATATTAATAAAACATACTATCAGAAAATTACATACATACATATGTATATGGACCAAACAAACAAATTAATATAACTTGAGAATTATTATACAAGTACTTATAAATAACATTAACCTTTGTCAGTAGATTATTATTAATAAGAAAAAAAGAACTTAAAAAACCAAACATTTGTTCAATTTGCTTTGACATTACTGATGCGTTTGATAATTTTTACGACCTATGCATGATGATACTGAGTGAGATAATGAAATTCTGACAAAAAGAAAAAAAAACAACCTTTTTTTACAACAATGTATGCAAAAAATTATGTATGAGTGGCGCATATATATCCTATTGAGACGAATTTTTATACAAATTCCATTCATTTAAATTTTATAGAATCTTAGTTGTACAGAGCTTAGGAAAACTGTCTCTCTTTTCATTGTGCTTACATTATTAGCTAACGTTATGCAAAGACATATCATTATAAAAAAAAAAAAAAAGTGTCGTTAAATCAATATAATTACATTTTTAAAAACTGTATTAGCTAATGATGAACACTACGAACCATACATATATATATATAGCTTTTAAATATGTATTAAAGATATTGAATGTTTCTTAATAGAAGTGTTACATGGTTTCAATCTGCCTAACTTATTAGAAGAGAACAAGTCAAATCGTGGCTAAAAACCTGTAAAGAACAAATATAACATGAGATATAGGGCATTTTTTTTTTATAGTGATAAGCTTAACATCGCTTCGTTTCATTTCTAAAGCGGAATTGTTTTCGTTGTTGATATCAATGCCTTTAATGCTTGGTCGTCCCTTAAATAGAAGATTAATACATTGAATTTCATATGATCCTACTAGCCTTTGATTGAACTTTCAAGACTCACTAAATACCAGCTCTATTGCCGCATTTTATGGACTTAGTTAATTAATAGATCGTTCGATGTCTTGACCCAAGGACCGATGCTATTACAAATGGTGCGCATCGAACGATATATAACACATTATTTTGAAAAGTCGTTATATGAAAAATTGTAGAGCATTTATTGGTTGGGCCTATCCCACTGTAGTGTTTTCACTTGTCTTATTTTGGTAAATTTTTTACTATTTTTCCCCATTAATCTGCAAATCCTTCAACCACAAAAATACTCTATCTGTGTTCAGATGTTCTTTCTCGCTGTCTTCCCTTTATTTTTTCTATGAGATATCGTTGTTGCCATACCCGTCGAAAGGCGAAATCGTGTGCTCTGTACTAAGTGTATAATTCCATGGCCAAATTCCAAATTACTTTCGAAATTTTCGTTGGAAGCTTACAATTTCTTCGCAGTTCTCAATCATTTCAAATCGTTCTCAGCTTCGTATATATTCAATGATCGTTCTGAGATCAAGCATGAGGCTTTCCAAGGATGTCTTCGGCTAATTAGAGAAGCTAGCAATCAACAGTCCAAAATCACTAGGCAGTAGGAATTCATTTCAAACAGGTAACCTTTTCAGAGCGGTTGGGGAAAACTTTAAAATTTTTAAAGAATTCTTTTCCTTACATTTAAAAAAAAAACCTTGAAAGAATTTATATAACACAATAAGAAAAAATATTTGTCTTTGAAGATTTGCATTGTATATTAAGTCTACGGGAAAGTGCTGTCTCTTCCGATTGCAGTAAGTTCCATGCGCATATTCATTTGACGCATTTTTGGCTCTCCCTTTTTTTATCACTGAACGTATACATTCATTTATGCCATTGGCTTATGTACGAGTATCAACAAGGGAGAAATTACAAGAGCGTGAAGTTTAAAAGTGTTTGGCTGAGGTACAGGTACAGTGCAGAAGATTGTTCGAGAAAATTCCAATAGGTAATTTCGATGTTTCTGATAAGCCGTGCTCGGATCGAACATCTTTGATCGACACTGCCAAGATCGTGTTAAGGCAAAATTCTTTTTTGACAAAAGAAGGAGGACGATGCAAAAAGGCTTGATTTATTTTCACTAAACTTTTTGGACCATATTCGAAAAGTGGGATTCTGTTTTACTCTAAGGGCGCATAGAACTCTCTGGTAGACCTATCACGTGTGTACATTTTCTATGGCCAAGTTTACCTTTACTCGGTATCCAAAAACAATTATATGTATATTTAAATTTTCCATTTTACTTTGACAGTTTTTATAAAAATAAAAGCCATTAATATGACGAGTAGATCGACTTGATCATGAACTAATGGGAAAGTAAATTTCAATATATAAAAGGTCCGTGTGAACAAAACTTGTCGAATATTATTTACTTTTCTCTAATATTTTTACAAAAAGCCGTTAAATTAACTTAATTAGCGCAAAAGTTCGTTTTCAGCCAATTGTTAGTAAACGAAGAAAGAAAACTATGTGCAACGCAATGAGTCAGATATGAATATAGATTAAAATTGACTCGATCTTCAATTTAAGTAATTCAGAATGATTTAGTTATATAGATGTAAAGAGGTTCTAAATTGCATTGAAAGCGGCAGCAATTTTTTTTTAATTACTGCGTAATAATTTCATGACGCAATACTTCTCCACTTTCTTTGCTTATAGGATTGCAAACGATTAAAAAACAAGCAAAATCGCTTTGAACCTCTTCAAAGTCGGAATTTTCGGGTTCCGCATAAATTGAATAAAAAAATCACTTAACACATGCAGTTCATATGTAATGAAGTTGGCTCCTGGATATGCGTCACGAGTCTGCTATGACATTGGTTATTATAATAATCTACTTAAGTTTGTGCTGATGTATTCAGCACCCAGAAGATCTTGAGGTAGACCCGCCAAATCACAATCACTTTCTGAATTGTTATAAGATTGTCTGTCCGTCTGTCCATCTAGAATTCTCACGGTCAATACACAGTCGCGACTTTTGATGCCAATATACTTTGGCTTAAGGACGATTGCTTTGAAAAAACGGAATACGAATAGGTTTGGACTGGTTTAGAGTATGCAACGATTTTCCATCGCCCACTAGAGTTTCTCTACATTTTTTCTATCAAAAAAAAATTGGAACAAAACTGAGCTTGATTTAAATTATTTTCTTGCCAACTTTCCATATGTATGTAAATCGCTGTACCCTAATCAATTAGTAATGTCGAGGGACAATATAGGCTTCATAAGGTTTTACAGAAGCTGTGGCGCCGTCCAAAGGCTCGTCATCAGGCAACTCTCCAGGCAAAGCAACGAAACGAAAATTTTGAATTACCGTAGTTATGAACATGAACAAATTTTGTCGCGCTAAAATATCACCCATGCAGCGATGACGTCCGAAACCAAAGGGATTATATGCTTCCGGTACTTTAAGAACGCCATCCAATAAATAACGATCAGGATCGAATTTATTTGGATAAGGAAAATCGGCTGGATTCATAAGCATACCGCGAAAGCAGGCAATAACCATGGTATCTTTGGGTATCTCATAACCACTGAGACGAGTGTCACATAAAGCACGATGCGGTATACCGAATGTATTGCCCATAAACATGCGCACTGCTTCCAAAACGATGGCCTCGCAATAAGGTAGACGAGTACGATCACTCCATTCTGGTAACCGTTCTAAGCCGACAATCTCCTGGATTTCATTATACGCCTTCTCCTGGATTCCCGGATTACGCACCATATGCAAGAGGGCAAATCCTAAACTTTTATTAGTAGTTTCGGACCCCGCCAAAAACATATCCAAGCAGACAGCTAAAAGTTGTTCTTCCGTAAACGATTCATTGTGATCGGGTTTCTCGAGCTCTCCGAGGTAACTGTCCATTAAATCCCGTGGAACATTATAATTTTGATATGTTTTTCGATGATTTTCTACTTCTTTACGCAAAAATCGGTAGATACGTCGATGGTTTTCCACGAAAGCATTATACCCCGAATAGTTAGGTGCTATAAAACGCATAATGGGGAAATGACTGAACATTGCGCCCACCATATCGACATGTTGAAAGAGTTCGAAGAACATTTTTAACAAATCATTGATTTCCTCACTTTTACGATCATAACGTTTACCAGCCATCATTGACCAAAGGGTATTTAAAACGTACACTGTAAATAAGTTAACCATGGGTATAATCGCATGCTTTCCTCCCTGTTCATTGATAATATCATTTAAATCATTCAACAGATGTTCGGCTTCTTGTTGAATGCCATTAATCATCCCGCTCCTGGCAAAGCCGAAATCTTTTAAATGTCGCAAAATGAAACGACGATGTACGACCCATAACTCTGCGTCGGTAACTAAAATACCTTTTTTCGAATCGAAAGTACGCATACGATAAAAAATTCCATCCGGTTTACCATCTAAATCTTCATTAGTCATCATCTCTTGTATCGTATCGTTATAATAGGCTATCACTAGTTTATCTTTACCAATTTTAAGGCCATACAATCCATACGGGTTAATATAATGTCGGGCCAATTCGTCGACTACTTTACAAAACATGCCGCATTTAAGTCGTAATCGTGATATTTGCAAAGCACAACCAACAATAGGATACCATTTGGGTCCTGGTGGAAATTTCGATGGTTTTCGTACATCCCACAGCAGGAATATAAGTATTAATGTGGCAAAAAATATCACAGTGTAAAACATTTTCTGTTCTTATGGTTTGTTTTTTTTTTTTTTGTTTTAACGGCTTCAAGTCTGCGTTCACTTTGGTATTCGCTTGCTTATGATTTCCGGGAAATTCACTTTCAAGTTTACTCACAGCACACATACACAATGCAAATGCAAAATTGAAATAAGTGCCTTAGGCTTTTACATTACGCTTTAACTGATAGTAGATTTTCTTACATCATTTGTCTGGCTTGGCACAGTTTTGTAAGTAAATTTGAAATATCTGTTGTATACATTTTGCGGGTAAAGCAAATAAAGCGATGTTTTCTTCTCTGGACTTAAATGAACTGAAGCGTTTTCTTTGGTTGCTTTATAATTTATACTTGGCCAAGTGAACCAGCTAACCACCAAGCAAGCCATAGAAACCGGCATGCATTAAATGCATTTTCATTGGGAAGTATCGGGCAATGGATTTAAATATGATGTTATATGTGTGCGTATGCACTACTCATTATACATTACATAACATGTGTTAGAGTGTTTTAAGTTTACGCTTGAATTTCCACCTTTTCTTCAAAAGAAAATAAAAATCATTATACGAACAACTGAACTGAAATGTATCCGTCATGGACGAACTTTATTCACTCACGACTAATATGAATTCTTTTTTACACTAATTGCACGCTTTTTAACAAATCGGTCGTCGCCGATTGCAACTCTGTTCGTCGTAATTATCATTTGAAACGCACCGCTTGCTGCAAGTCGTCAAGTGTGCATAAAAATATTTGACTTTTTCACGAGATTTTCCGGTTGCGAGCAGATGGACCTGCCTGTGATTGAGACAGATTGTGTGCGAATCAAAAAAGGGAAACGGAAGTAACTATAAACGAAATTTTGAATAGAGTAAAACAGAAAAATTTCGTCAGGGAGAAGTAGCACATTACAGCGAACAACGGCCAATGAAGTAATCGCTGATTGTTACTTTTTAATGCAAGCAATTTTATATTGATTTTGCTCTTAAATTTTCTACTTTTCTTCGGGAAATTCAAGTTTAGGTATATCACGAACAAGCGAAAAGTGTCCACTGTTTTTAAAATTTTGTCGACCGTGTAGTACATGTAGGACATATAAGATACGTTTTGAAGTACACATAGTAAGTTCTTATAGTACCACTAGCGGCGCCACCTTTTGATGACTGCTCGAGTTGGAAAGGTGAAGTCTCACATGAATTTGGTTCGATCAACTCTTGAATGTTAAGTGCTATAGGTGCTACGTTGATTGTATTGAATCAATTCAGGGAAAATTTTAACACTTCCCTCTTAGGAATTTGAGCTTAGTATCTTTGCCAGCCTATGGAAATAGATTGCAACTTATAGTTCCACTTTCACTAGATTTTTCCTCGGTGTTATTCTCTTAGCTGAGCTAATAATTATTAATGCAGACAAACCATCTCTATTAAGTAAATTAAATCCGCTTGAGTGGCCGATGGCAGAGAATCTCGACTAGCAACTCAATGGTCGTGCGTTCGAATGTCAAATGCAGTATAGTTTTTAATAAACTCGATAGCCTTAGATAATAGTGCTTCAAAACTTTAATCTCGACATTATTTCGCTGCCTAAATTAATAATCATAATAATAATAATAATAATAATAATAATATGTGAAGCAAACCTCTATATATGTTCGTCACTTTCATGAAACTTAGCTAATGTAAATTTAATTATGTGCTACTTAACCCATTCAAGGCCAGGCGTAAAAATTTCAATATCTGTAATGTAATGCTTGGTACACCCTTTTTGCCGATGTCGTAGTTAAATTGACTACAAATCTTTAACGCTTCATACGATTCGCTAATAAACCTCACATGTTTCCTACCATTGTTTGCTGGTTTTCGGATGTTTGCCTTGATTGCGTCAGCTATTTGTACATTATACCCCAAACTTGCTCGAGGTGCAGGTTATCTTCAGTTTATGCGGATTCACATAACATCCTAAAAGAACTCGCAACAGATGCACCATTTATTATATCGATCGATTCGAAATCATTTTCTGTATCATTTTCTAAATCGACTTGTGTCCGTCCATTTGTTTGACGTAACCTCGTGTTCAGTTTGTAGGTCTTTTTGATAAATGTTTGTGCATCCATATGGGAAGCCTTTTAAAAATGAATTGGATCGGTCCATTATTGACGCCATTCGCCAAAAAATGCCTTTATTTCGAGAAGACTGCCTTTGACATAAAGGTTCACTTAATAAAGTTTAATGATAAAAATTCGATGACAATAGCAATTTAACATCAAAATTGGGTCCGCATAGATCTATTTTCACGCTACATCTCTTATGTAGAGATTTACAAGAAAAGCAAGCTGTTAGGCGGCAATATCTGATTCTTACTACTTTACGACGAAAATAGGTGAAGAGTGATGGCGGTCTGTCACTAAAAAGTTAATGGCTGAATTTGTACCACATACGTTCACATTTCGGCCCTCCTTTCATGTAAGAGTTGTTAAAGTAAATATTATTTTTTTTTATTTTATCACGAAAGTAAATTAATGATTGTATTGGGCAAAGTCGTAGCTGGCCTTGTTCAAATATATAAATTTTGTTCTCAAATCTTCTTCTTTTTGCGATTATAAACAAGGGTATACAAGGAGTTAAGTTTTTGCAGATTTATGCAACATCGAGAAGGGCTTGAGATGGACTCACCTTTTATTAAACGGATCCATTCAGAATTACTTTTTGCATCGATCCGTCTCTCTATCTTGTCTTCGTAAGTACGAGTGGATGTTTAGCATGTTTTGATGAAATTTGTTATATTGCTGAGTTTTGGCGTAAAGCAGAACGCCATTGAGAATTGTTCGGATCGTACCAAGTTTTCGGTCACTCCCCATGAAAAGCCTTATTTTGAAAAATAAATAAATAAACTATAATTTGAGAGAATGTGTGAAAGATCTTGTTGCAGACAACGTAAAACTTTCAAAGCGTAATAAAAGAAGCGGCAAGATTTGAAAATCGAAGGTTGGAAATAATTTTCAATTTTGTTTAAAATATCACTGTGAAGGTGCGGAAAAGGCTCGCATATCGGGAATTTCCGCCTTTGTAATCGCCTTACTAGTTGAAAATGTAAATTACGTTCATAGTTGCCATCGATAATGCCGTGTGTGCTCTTCTGTAATTTAAACCCAGTAAAGTAAAACTTGTGGTATCTTGAGTGTCATCGAAATCATCGAAAGTTATCGAAAGAAGAAAGAGTAGAGGATGGATAGAAGAAGTAATGAAATAACCAGTGAGCAACAGATGTGTTTAATAAACCTCGCCCTTCGGTATAAGCTTTGATACAACAACAAGATCTCATTTTTCCTCTTCTAGAGCGAAAATAGAAGAGACAATAATAAGCTCTTTCACAAAACAACAATTAACTGTACTAAATTTAGATTATTTTGGTTTGCGTTTGAACCTCCTTCCTCAAAAAGGATCGGGAGGGGAGAAAATCGACTACTATATATAAAGGAACCCTAACCAAAATTTCTGATGGCTAATTTTTATAGAGGACCATTAACCTAACCCTCTCATTACGGACCAAAATCGACTACTATTTATAGACGAACTCCAATCAAATCTTCTGATTATGGACAAAAATCGATTACTATTTACAAACGACCGCTAATCAAAATTCCTAATTACCGACCAAAGTCGGCTAATATACATAGCGGAACCCTAACCAAAATTTCTAATTACGGACCAAAGTTGACTATTATCAAACCTTCTAATTATTGACTAAAATCGCTTAGTGTTTACAGACATAGTCTAACCAAATCTTCTAATTAGGCACTGAAATCGTCCACTTTATATAGATGAACTCTATCGAAGTCTTTTAATTAATATCCAAGAGCGACTACTCTTTACAGACATCGATGTTTCGAGTAAGTATTTGATAATACTGAAAAATATCTGAAATCATGATTATTATATTCGTGACATTAATCGCTATGAACTGACTGAGGATAACGTATTATTGGCATTACAAAATTTAAAGGCAGGAAGTCTAACAAGTACGTGAATAGGGAAATATGTAAAGACATTTGTATATATTATGATAAGCGTGTACAAGCGAAGTTTTCATGCCAGTATAACAAAATATACCAATTTGTAGCAATTGAGCCTTGAGAGACCTCAACATTGAAATACAAACATATATACATACATACATACATAGTTTACTAATCCAGCTATGTTAAGCAAATGCAATAAAAGCTATCATCTCATAGACAATGTTGGCGTGCAGGTTACAGGTATACATTATGTCACCTTATGAAATCGCAAGAAACCGGTTAACAAGATCTTTTATAAACAGAGAGTAATTTTAAGTCCGGAAAATGCTTTCAGCTGTAAAATGGTTTTGAAGAAAATTGAAAAGATGTGTCCACTCCATATGCACATATTTGGTGGTTCCGGTTTTGCAACTATGTTCGCATCTTACAATTTTTCTAGACAGTTATTGTTCGCTTCACATCTAAGTTTCTTAGCCTTAGTTAGGTGGAATTGTGAACATTCAACTGTGATATAAATTAAAAGAAAAGCAAAACGTTTTCCAGAGATTATTACACGAAAGTGTTACAAATTTGCCACCGGACAAAACTTTTACGCAGGAGTAAAAGTTTATTTGAAAATTAAACGTTAAACTATTAAGTTGTTTTCAAGCAGATACACGGAGTGCGTTAATAGTATTTTTTAATGGGTTTTCGGTAATTACTTAATCACTTGTTGCCTAATAAAAAATTTTTTTAACTGATTATATTTGTCTCAGACTTATGCTTTTAATGGCGATGGGCTTGGGAGCCATGTATATGTTACATTTATTAGCACAAGACTGGAATAAAATTCGTCGTCCTTTACCGGCGGGGGCAACACGTTTGCTTACTAGTGCCAGTCGAAATCTTGATAAGTACATTACTCGTGGTAAACGTGATCTCAGAGCCAATCAAGTGCATTCGCATCGATTAGATGAGAAAATAATTGCCAAAAATTCATCATCCGATAATTCGTTTATAGATTGGAAACGTATCTTATCACGGGACCCTTTCGAATGTTTAGAGTCACTTATATGTCAGCTGGTAGCCGGAGCTGAACAATCATCCCAGGATGCTGTGATGTTGTATGATTTTTTAGAAGAAAACTTGCTAATGGCACCAGCGAAAGTTGGCCTTGCATATGGTAGAGGTTTAGCGTTGCGTGATTCACCTGAACGCTGTTACAATGCATATCCTTTTTGCTGGTATTCAGCGAGAACAATGTTAAATTTATTACGATGGTTGGCTGATACTGTGCACACAAATGAAACTCAGCAGTAATGACAAGCGTAGCGATCGAAAGTGTAGATCCAGATATAATTAATAAATACGTAAAAAAAAAAAAAAAATATATATATATATATATAGATCTAATTCTAGTTAATAGTTAAACGAAATAAATTTATTCATAATGAAATCAAGTCAGAACTTTCGAGTCAAAAATTTAAAGCACCATTGCTGTCAGCGGAATGCGGAAATGTATTAATACCCACAACTAATTTATGTTACATAAAATAAACAAAAGCATCATAGGGGGCCACGGTTCACCTTCCCAATTTTTCAAAATGAGGCATTATATGGGAAGTAATCAAAAAAGTGGTCCGATCCTAACCATTTTCAGTAGCAATTGGCCTTATGTCAATTCATAAGAGTGATCCATATTTCAACAAAATACCTTAGAAATTGCGAAGTGTGGGTTGAACACTGGAAAGCAAGGCGGACAGACGGACAGAGAAGCCTAAATGAGAATTAGATCAGAATGTTTTCCCGAATCGATCGGTATAATAAAGGTATAACAAAGGTGGCTCCATATCAAGCCCTTGTCTTCTGTACATGTCCCTGTCCTTGATGTGCGTTCAGGCATTTTTGTATTCAACCTAAGATCGGTAACTTTGAAGATATTTCGATGAAATTTGAAACACTGACGTGCTTTGACTTCACTTGATGACGAACACTATTGAAGGCGGTTCGAATTGATACACTTTTTCAACCATTCCCTTCCACTCTTTCAATTTCCTAAGTTTCTCTACAAAAGGTGCTGAGGAATAACATTAATTAAAAATTTTATGGGCTGAGGCAAGTTTTTGAACTCTCTCTCTCTCTCTCATAAAACCGTTCTTAAGAAAACCGAATATTTACGTGGTAAAAAGTTCCAATTTTCCACATTTTATATTGAAAAGTGGTTCTTAGGTCTATTTTTTATTAATACCGAATTTATATATACGTTCGCCTCTGGATCAATTTTTGCCTCTCTCCGCCATAAATGTGCTCTTACTGCAACAATAGCACGAATAATATTGATGGGATAAAGTCGATTGGATTCAATGTTCCAATAGATTTATATCGCATGATCTTTGTGGCAAGCTCACACAGATATATTTGAGGATTACAACGTCTCTCTCTCTCTCTCTTCTTGAACTCTTCCCACAATAAACTGACTTAGTTACGAAAGGTATGGCATATTGTACAACTTCGTTAAAGGTCCATATAATCCAAATCGAAATCATCTCATTTTTATTTATTTACTTCAATTCAAGTCTGTTACAAAAATTCCAACCAACAGTGATATTAGAAAGCCGGTAAAATTTCAAGGATACATTTCATGGTTAACTTAATAAAATACTTAAGGAGTTATGCTTATTAATTAATAAATTGAATGTGAAAATTTAACTGCTATAGCGAGACCGTCGAACTACGTAAACACTTAAGGAAAATCCTAAGCTAAGTAAGATAGTACATGAACATATCTATGATCAACTTGCGCAACTAATTTCTTAGTTAGCTTACCTTAAATACGACATTGACAGATCGCTCATACTGAAGATGACTGACTTCATCTGTAACGAGTTTAATACTGATAATAAATTATAGACATCGATTTCGATTTTTACAGAAGACCTTCACCAGATTAAAACGCTCGCAGCTATATCGATATTGGGTAAGCTTCACGAATATGAAGTTTCAAGAAGAATGAGTGGAGACATTAAAGGCCGGCGAAGCAATGCCGTCATTAATTAACTTAACTAGGAATGAGTTATCTAAGGTAAACCTTCGCTTCTCCAGTGAGGACAGGACTAACAGTAGCAAGCTGTTCTTACATGGCTATAAGGAGACTAACAGAATCCATCCTAATGTTTTTAGAGCAAAGAGCAAGAATTGCTTCTGAGCTGAAAACCATTCAGTAATAATGTATCTGTAGTCTCCTCCATTGAGAGTAACTGTAATGTTCTTCTCATCTTCAAAGGAGACATTTTCAGCCCACAAATCGCAGCCAAAATCATTAAATACTTGTAAGAACATCAGATTTGTTGTGTTTACCTCAAAGGGAGAGTAAACTATTGATGAAGTCCTTCAACCAAATATGAGCAAAATATGAGGAGATATGAAAGAAACGCAATCGTGAGCTTATTGTTATTGCTATGAATTTTAAATGTACAACTACAAATCTATTGCGTTCGACAAACAATGGCAAGTTGCAGTCAATATATTGAAAAAAGCTTTGATCCACATCTCAATCACAAGTGTATTTGCTTACGTTTACTTTCGAAACTACAAAATATTGATTTGTAAAGTTGTCTCTCCTACCTTTCTACTATCAAAATTTCATGTTATTTCATGTTATTTAACACTATTGTTGTTAATTGGAAAACAGTCGACAAATTTTGAGATTTTTTGTATTGATTAACCATTGCTTTGTGGTGCGTAACCTATAGCATCCGTCCTTTGTGGAAAACAAGAATTTATTGATGCTTTACTGATCTTAAGCAAGTTTCTACGTACACCGATAATGTTAAAAGTCCAAAGCAAGACTCTCTCGATAGTCAAAAAGTAGCTCTAAAAATCGGAATCCTAACTATGTCAAAAGCCAATGAATTTTGACCTGGACTCAAAGGTATCTTGCGAACTTTCATAAACCAGCCATCGAAACTTTCACAAAGAAGCCATCGTAATAGTAGTGAAGTCACCTATATGTATCGTTCATGAAGGAGACAATGTTGATGATAAAAGTAGAATTTTGCTAAAGAGCTTTTTTTTTTTTTGCTTTATTACTTAATTCCGAAAATTATTGACGCGTTTACACTGTACAGCTCAACAAATCTCCCTAATCTTAATTTTTAATTCTGATACGTATGAATTTCAAATATGCTTATCTCGCTGCCTTTAGCTGCACATAAGTTTACTAATGAAATGGTAATCAACAGCTTAGAATAGTCAATTACTTCGTTCCCTAAATATTGCAAACGCTAATCAAATCGCTTTAGCTGAGTTTTTGTTTTGATTGTCAATGACGCGATACGCAATATTTGTCATATTTTTAATAAGAACCGTTCAGGGTTTTGAAGAATCCATATTTGAAGACGAGGACATTTACAGAATTTATGTACCAGCACAGCCTCCGTCAACAAGTACGATAGTCCCAGGTACAAAATGGTGTGGCCCGGGAAACACAGCCGCTAACTATGATGATTTGGGTAATTTGAGAGAGGTTGATATGTGTTGCCGTGATCATGATCACTGCGAAAGCATAATAATGCCTGATGTAACATTACACAATCTTTACAATAGCGATTGGTTTCCGATGCAAGTAGAGAAATAGAAATTATAAACTTTTTCCTTTCACTTACTTATTATTGCTAATATTTATTATAATTTTTTAATCGCAGAATGAAATGCAGTTGTGAACAAAAATTTATGAATTGCTTGCAAGAAATCAATTCTCCCGCTTCAAATGCTTTGGGACATGTATATTTTGTGGGTCGAGACAAATGTTTTCAATTTGGTCATCCAATTATCGAATGCGCTAAACATCAGCAAGGCATCATACGCAGACGTTGTATAGTCTACAAAGTAGACAAATTTAAGTCAAAAATTTGGCAACTTTACGATATACCATTCTATACAAGCGTAGGTGAAACTACAAATAATTACGTTCGCAGAACGGCGATAACAATAAACTGAAAACTCATTCAGCAACAAAGATAGCATAATAATGTCAAAAGAAGAAAGACAATTATATTCGGCTGTGTTCCGAATATATATCTTTTCATTCATTTATTTTTACAAACGAGAGAATATTTGAACCGACGGACAGATGGACAATGGAGCAGATGAACCGAACAAAAATTTTCATATCAATTTAGAATGTTGGATACGATTACTTTGCGATTTTTGCGAAGAAATTTTCAAAATTACAAATATTTCGATATAACGGCCCTTCAAGATGAGATGTTATATGGGGAGTGGCTGAAAAATTGGGTCAGTTCGAACCATTTTCAAAAGCACGTGAATGTTTCAAAATATCTCAAAAAATGAGACTTGTGAGCTGAACGCAAATTTACATCGACCAGCAGCTAGACAGACCGACTTAGATCAATCTAGAAAGTGATTCTAAATCGATGGATGTAATAGAAAGTGGGCGTATCTTAAGCCCTTATGTATGTTGCATACAACCTTAATATACCCTGTATCAGAGGCGGCGGGTGGATGGGTGTTTTTGAAGCTTGCTGTTGGGCGTAAAGGTTTCGACAAAAAAAAAAAAACGAAATTATGATGTATTATAATCTTTTCCCATTTCTGTACTGGTACAATATTATCGCCCACAGGACATTCAAATTTTTATAGGTTTATCTATGTAGCTTGTGAGTAATGAGCAAAAATCCAACTTTTTCCACCCTTTACAAAACCGAGGTACCTTCAGTTGTATGCTACGGTAAGCGTGTCCTTCGATTGATTCAATCCATTCTCAACACCAAACTGTGTGAAAGAGCATCCAATGTTCTACCAAACTTGAGGTATTTGAAGGCACCTGAGAAAGCCATTGATTGATTTTTTGTGGCATGATTTCTCAGAACGAGAATTTTTTTTTTTTTTTTTTGGGGTTATGCAGAAGGTCGAGTTTATGCGCGACGATCCTTAATCCTTCTCTTGACGCTTTGAAAGCGAATCTCAATCAGGTTATAGTTGAGCCATTGCCCGCTATGTGCAGACACGTTATCGAGAATTACTCACACAATATCCAGGATGCAGTCGTGTAAGATTTGCTGTAGAGAACATTTGAATAACGTAGTATTCCACAAATAATAGCAAGGTCCAAAAAATGTACCGAAAAAAAATAAAATCTAAATCCCAATAAGAAGTGTACTTCATTTTCATTTACTTTCGAGACCACAAAATGAATAATGCTATAGTATTAATATTTAGTTCCTCGAGGTGATGTGTACAGATCTCCAACAAACGCAATTACACTCTACATTACCTAACACCTGTATATTAAGTTTTTGCATATGCAACATCCAGAAAGGGAGAGATAAGCCAATCTTTTACCATACTGCTCCAGTCCAAGGAGGAAATTTATGAAAAATTAATTGGACTAGGCCACTTATCTACACCTAGACTCTTCATAAGATGAGAAGAAAGGCTATGTATTTCTCGAGAAAAATTGGTGAAAATTATGTAATTGCTTTAGGCAAAGTAACGTAAGATACTTATAGCCGGCTTTGCTCGACTGGACGAATGGGTAAACATGCTATTTAAATATTAAGTAATGTTTCAAAAAAATATACGTATACGCTTCATTTATGTATATATATTTGTGTTAACTAAAAAAAAAAAATAAAAAAAAATAATATGGAAAATAATACACAATCAGTAAAAGTATAATAAAATAAAGAGATTCGTTTCAAATGTGTCATAAATAAATTGTTATAAATTCGATAAATACATATATATATATATATATATTCAGTTAGTACAGATTGTGCAACTGAAATTAAAAGAAATGCTAAGCAGATAGAATATTAACAAAATTTGTACTAAGCTTGTAGATAAATTTAACAAAAAATATTGAATTTTTCACAAGAGAGCAATTGATCGATGATAATCACAATTATTAGTAGATAGTATATGAAGTACATGTTTATAGTGTGTGCACATGTGACATAATAATAATAATAATCATAATATAAATATATAGATAATAATAATGTAAATTCTGGTTTAAAAAATAATAAAAATAACATGTATATATGTATATATAGATATAAGTATAAATTGTACGTATAGTTTTTTTTTTTTTTAATAAATTTAAAATCGAGGTTAATTATGTTCATAAAAGTAACTTTTTGAGCCTTTAAGGAAAATTATCGTTTTTCGCTTCTTTTTTTTTTCGAAATAAAAAACCTTTAAAATGAAACGTAAAATTTTGCGTCTACGAGTTGATGGCTTGAAAACAACTGGAATTAAAGCAATATTTTGTGTCTGCCTTTCTGTTTTAAGTCTATCTATCTTTTTCCTGTTTCCAGCGCTCTTAGCAATAATAATCAAAGTATTTTTGTGGTATCAAGCTTGCACTGAGAAGATAAGAAAATAACTTAATACTATGTACAGTAGACAAGAGCAAATATTGTCTTATTAGAGTTGCTTCTCTTACTTATAAGAAAATTAAAGACAATTGGCTTTTGATTCGGTTTTAACCAAACTCTTATTATCACCACCGCCACCACCCATTGTTACTTTAGTAATATCTTTAACAATCATCTCAGCCACTTGCCAAGCAATCTCTTCTTGAACGCTGTCTTGGGGCAGGTTTACCAGTTTTCTTACTGCTTTTTTCAATTTATTATGAGTACTCTTAAGGGAATTTTGTATTAGAGCATCACTGGGCTTCACAAAATCTCGTTCATAACGTCCTAAAGAGTTGACATAACCAAATTTTAAACCATTACCATTGCCGGCGTGTGAACGATGCCACAATAAGTCGGGATTAGTTAGTTGACTGGAATCGATATCTAATTTAAATTGTTTAAAATGTGAAGACGAGTGGTTGTTATCCATGCTGGCCAACAAGGTATTCCTCTGAGATATAAATGGTTTCCTGTCCAATATGCAATCAGATCGATTTTTACGAAATCTGTTCGTTGTTTTGTCACTTGCACTACGTCTTAAAGGCATTTTTTTAATTTCTTTCTCATTTTCTATACGCGATTTTAACTCTTTAAGATAATTGTCGAAAAGCGAAGATTTCAGAAAGTTTTTCAAATGTTTGCGTTCCAAATACTTGGCTGCCACTTTTAATGGCAAATCAAAGCAATAATTTATCCAAGCTTCAGAACAAATTGTTGATTCGACGTACGCTCGAAGTTTACTTGAAGCCCATAATCCACACTCAGCTTGCAAGGAGAAAAACCTTTCATATATGATCATGGCGTCTGCCCGTGCTTCATCTTCGTTACGAATAGGATTTTCGAAAGCAACATAACTTTTGCGGTAATTAATGGCGGTAGACCAAAAATCTAAACAGTCGCGCTCTCCTTGTTGCTCCAAATATTCCATAAAATAGAATAGTGTAACTTCACTGTGTAAAATATCGCAGATATTTAAATCTTGATTTTCGATAAGTTCAACACAATATTTGAAATAATAGTTGCTTTGCAGGAAATCATTTAAAAATTCCTTCTCCAGCTTTTCTAATATAAAATGTTGAGCCTCTACAAAACAATCAGCCGTAATAGGTAAAGTGTCCGTCGTGTCCATTTCATTTGATTTCCTACAGAGTATCAATGAAATTTTTGAAATAATATCTACTGGGAGTTTGATATGATCCACCGCAGCATCAACTATGAGGTATTTCTGATAAATAGTCAAAGCGTCCTTGATGCTGACATCACTAATTTGTATACTGTCCAGGAACTCGTTTAAACACACATTGCTGCTAAAATTACTACTACACAATGACAATTCTGAGGAAGCTTTGAGCTTTTGATTATCGCTACATCGATATAAATGTCTACTAGTCTCTGCAAAAATTTGACTTTTCTCGTCATCGGTGATCGGCTTACGCATCGAAAGATCGCATAAAGTTTTCAATTCAGGTACATCGCTATCGCAATCGCAATCGACACGTTTCTCTTGTATGCGTTCGTCGTCAGCATAATTATTTATTGCTTGACATTCCGAAGTTGAGGGCAACGAAATGTCTCTTTCCATTGGTTCTTGCAAGGTAGTGAAATTACCTTTAGTTTCCTTTTTTAATTGTGCAATTGCAGAATTTTTAAAATTTTCCGTATCCAAATAAAATTTAATAAGCAGCAAAGCGTTTTTACTTTCCAGATATTGCACAAAGTAGCTAAGACAATTGGGCTCACTTACGATAGAGCACAAAGTCATGCAAAGACGTGAATGGTATTTGAAGACATCTGAAAATGAACAGGAACAAAAAAAAAATCCAATTCAAATCAAAAATGCTCTCCAGAGTCTCATCCTGGAATTATTTGCAATATTTTCATATGTTTAAGATTACCCCCGATTATTTCTTTACTTAGCAAAGCTTAGAAGTACGAAGCATGAAGTAGGATGTCAATTTTTGTACTATTTCATTCATAATATGCTATGCTATTATTATATTATTCAAATGTTCTCTTATGTCGTTCTTTTACAAATCTGTAATTTTGTTATTCTTTTATCCCTTTATTTTGTTGTTTCATCAAGCATGTCGAAGCTAACCAAACTTAGCCAATCTTAACCAACTTCAAAATTTAGCAAAATTATGCGTTGTTAAGGATTAAGCATAAATAAAAAGTATAAGAATTTTCAGATTCTGTGAATTTGCATCTAAAATGTTTGGAAATATTTGAAGAAATGATTAATGCCCATAATGGTGAACCCGAACAAACTCTCTTTAAACTTATGAATATGACTGTTTTCCTTCACAAATATCCGTCCAGACCGAAAAGCTAAGACGGAAACTATAATACAGCGGACAATGAATGCGAACACATAGCGGATTGTTTTGTTAAATGTATAGGCAAATATCCCAGCTTATTGGTAAAAGTGCAAAATTTTTATATGTCAAATCCTGGAGAGGTGATCAAGTACAAAAAGTTTTGGAATATGCGGTCAAATATGACGCAAGTGCAGTGCATCTTGCATAGAGTTTTTCTGCGAAGCTGTCTACGCTGATAATCTTGGAGTAAGATGATGTGGAAAATTACCTTTATCTGTCATAAGTGCAACAGCATTATTTAAAACTCCTGCAGTACCTCCTAGACCGGCATTGTTAAATGCATCAAGACTTAAAGCCCCGCAACTAATGGCGTCATCGTCTACATTATCTAGCACTTCAGTTCCGTCAGATGCCTTAAATAACTCCTCAAGAAAAACCTCGTCGCAAAAGCTTGATGTTGAACGCAATGAATTATGTTTTGACGACTGTTCCATTTCATCAACTACATCGGTGTTATTTTGGCCATATTCGAGGGTAGCAGAGTTATGACGACCTGGAAATGCATTATGAAAAACGTAAATAAATAATTAAAATCACACAATAACACGAATTGTGATTGTCTCGATACTCACTAAGCTTGCGAAAATATTTTAACATTTTCAGGTTACATGCGTGTTAATTTCTAGAAACTATTTGTCTTAACTTAAATCTATTTGTTTTTTCTTTTTAATATCACACAATTTCTAATATTGCAATTTTTCCACCCGAAAAATTTCTCCAGAATCGAAAATATTTGCTTTGCTTCTTCTAGTTTAAACGAAGTAAATTAATATAAATGTTTGACATCCCGTCATCAAGAAAGTATTGCCAGGTGCGAGAGCATAAATAATATTTTCACTATAAATTAAACTGCATGTGAGATGAATTTATCTGTCAGACCTATGACTTAAGAGAAAATTTATTTCACGACTCCAGTTATAGTCTAACTGGTATTTAATTTCATTTTCTAATCACCTTGTTCCAGTACTTAAAAGTGGGGAATAAGACTGTCGGTAATAGTTGTGGCTTGGAATTTGTGAGATGGCGGCGCAACGTTATTATATCATTTATTTGATTTCGCATTGTCTCTTTTTCCCCATCCTGCGAAATAATTGTATATATTTTGCGGAAATTTATATAAGAAAATAAACATAGCATTGTTGATAATTTGCGGCAGCTGGCGTCTTAAAATTTGTTTAATATTTGTAATTAGAAACAATTTTATTAGATTTACTTTAGACTTTGTTATCGCAACCCTGTTAAAAAAACAGTATTGTTGTAAAACTTTAGGTGTGTGTTCGGTGTTGTAGAGCTAGTACCGCATGTGGTCGTTGCTGCTTGTTCCAGTTTTGCGTACATTTGCCATCCACTTGCTATTGTTTACATTTCAAAAGTACAATAATAACAATAATAATAACAATAATAATAATAGCAATAACAATATTTTTATTATTATTATATTATCATATTATTATTTTATATATTATCATTATTTATTATTATTATTATTTATTATTATTATTGTTATTATTATTGTTTTTGTTATTATTATTGTTATTCTTGTTGTTTTTGTTATTGTTATTATTGTTATTGTTTGTGTTATTGCTATCGTTATTATTGTTGTTATTATTGTTATTGTTATTGTTTTTGTTATTGTTATTCTTTTTGTTTTAGTCATTGTTTTTGTTTTTGTTATTGCTATTGTTATTATTGTTGTTATTATTGTTATTGTTATTATTATTATTGTTATATTGTTATTATTGTTGTTATTATTGCTATTATTAGCTATCGTTATGCAAAGACATATCATTATAAAAAGTTTGTCGTTAAATCAATATATTAACGGTTTTAAAAACTGCATTAGGTAATGATGAAAACTACGAAACATACACACACAAAACTGAGCATATATATAGGGTATTAGGTTGGCGGGTCGTATGGCACTACAGCGTTTCCACATCTTTTTACCTTACTTTACTGCACCTCTAGTTCACACAATTTTACATTTAGAACAACAAACGAAAACTAGCTTTAATATATGTACAGTATGTGATGAGTAAAACCAAGTCTCCCGCTCCAAACTACGAGGATTGAAGCATTGTTTTCTTAAAATTGCAATAAACATTTTATAGGCGCCGTTGCACAGGTAAACGTACGAATATTGCGTTTTTTAATTAGTGGTCTTAAAAAGGAAATATAAGTATTCCAAAAAGTGCCATTGAGAATGACCTTTCAATCTTTCTTCTTGTTTTCTGACAATTCGCAAAGATCAAGTCAATGTTTAAATGACGAATATTGAAGGGTTAATCTATACAGGGCGTCTCTGTTTAACATTCGCAAGATCCGCCTGAGTGACCGAGTAGGCGGCAGTCTCGACTAGCAACTCAATGGTCGTGGGTTCAAATCTCAAGTGGGGTAGAGTTTTTAATAAAGCCGAAAGCCTTAGATGCTAGTAATTTAAGACATTAGTCTTAGAATGTATTCTCTGGCTAAATTTATAATAATAATAATAACATTCGCAAATGTTAAAGCCCATATTTTGAAATAATTTGCGCTTTGCGATGATGCAGGCGAACTATATAAACTATATAAACCCTTTGCAAAGCAAATTTTCTTAAAATTCGCTAGAAATTCTTCGTGATAAGCTCCATCTCTCTAGCTACATATTTGCGGACACATTTATATATAAATAGAAGGTGGAAATTTAATTCTCTTTATTTGGAGGCCGGCTTTATTATTCCCGCTTGAACTCAATACATCTAACCATTTTTTCTTTTATTTTGTTAAAAAGTGAGGCAGATGATGAGGTCGATAAATCACTATAGCAATGCGCTGCAAAATAATGCGTTAGCTCCTTATGGTCCTCGCTTATTCATGATCTTCGGAATCTCTTTCAATGAAATTGGTAATCACTAAAAACAAAGCCGTTAGCTATGGAAAAGCATGAATTGTTTTTCTTGCTCTTCAAAGTATACTTTGAACGTATAAACGGTCTACCACAGTATTCCACGCGTACATAACATTTATTTAACTATATCATCAACATTTGAATGGTTCAGTGTTTTTTCTGTCCAGAATAGTTCAGTACAGATTTGTTCGATATTTGATGACTCGATGAGTTTGTGTAATTTACCTTATCTCTGTCGCTACTTCCTTCTTTTTTCCCAGCTTACTCATTACCATAGTAATGTTGGGTTCATTACCATTCAAAATTATTTTAAAGATTGGAATAGAACTTTCTTTAAAGGCCACTTATATGGATAACAGTTTACGTTTGTAAGTTAAAATTCGATCAATATTTAGAACGTTACTTGGATATGCTAGTCTTTAGTTAAAAAGACTACTTGATAAGGCACATGATGTGTGAGTCATATGTCATGGGACATAAAAAAATCTTTTGCAAAATTATTCTTTTGCTGAGTAAAGTTCACTTCCGTAAATTGCAAAAAAAGAAAATTTTTTTCCTTTAACAATTTTGCAGAATTTTTTTTTGAATAGATATACAAATCAAGAAACTAGTTTGGAGGGCTTTTCTAAATCATATTATTATGTATTTATTATTAATTACAATTATATGTATATATGTACATATATATATATATATATATATATATATATATATGAAATGTAAACTTGTATGCATATGTATGTATAAAGATAATAGTTATATATATAAGTATGTTTAGAACTATATTTATATATTAATGACATTAAATAATTTGTATATATTTTATTGATTTAAATATTTTTTTCCCATTCGCTTTTTCTTATTTTTTTTTTTTATTTTTTTTATTTCTATTATAGATTATCTTCATTACACTTTCATATGTTGTTTTATAATGAATTTTCTTACATTTCTTTTTAGTAAAAAAAAAAAAAAAAAATATAGTATAATTTTTATTGATAATAAGAAAAGGAAAAAACAACAAATTTTGCTAGAAATGTATTAATTAATATGTATGTATTATGTACAATTGTTTATGTTTATAGGATCTCGCTGAAATGTTTTATACAAATTTATTACAATCTTTCTTATAAAAAAAAAGAGATTAAATAATATTATTGCCAAAGAAAAAAGAAAAATATTACATACATTGAATTTCAATACAATTTTTTTATTTTTTTTATTTTTAAATTCATTTAAATAAAAGTTCTTATATAAATAGCTTTGCAAATAGCTTCTTAACTTCAAATTCAATTTTGTGAAAGATTCAACAAAATTTGATACAGATCTATCCAAATAAGGTGACTTGAAAATTTTTGTGATTATTATTTTATTAATAAGTGTATGTTCAATAAAGCTCTCTTATGCTCAATGAACTTGGGAACTACAAATTCATTGCAGGAAACCTATCCTACATATATATATGAATATGGGTACATTAAGTAGTCTAGAATATATTAAGCCTTAAAGAAGTTCATAATTACTGTGATTAATACATAGGCATTGAATTAATATACAATCAATTCATATGCACTCAATTTTTTTTTTACACGGTCTTCTTTTTATCGATTTTGAAATAACGCGGTTTATTAATAAGAATAAGTACACTTTTTTATACTAATTTTTTTGTTCTAACACGAATACCGAAATAACATTTTTTTTTTTATTCAAATATTTTGACAACGTCTTATAGAAACTTATGTATACAGTAATAAAATGCAATTTCGGAAATACGGTAATAAGTCTGTCGGTTCATGCTCACGTATATGTCGGTGACTTGGCCTGAACTTTATGATCACTTTTTTCTTTACCTCGTTATAACTCGAACGTAGTTCGAGGAGGACAGGAAAAGAAAGAAAGAGGAGGTTAGGTAGATTTTGGCCGTAGTCTAGTCTGGATATTAGCCTAATCGATAAGTGTTATGCCTTTACCGACTTAGCATTCACTATACCTACGACCACTAAGATTTGAACCGGCGAACATTGACTTTGTGGTCGCGAATCTTACTACTACTCCACAGATTCATGCAGAATCATGATCATCGCGTTGTTTGGTAAATCGATAAAAAGTTTCGAAACTCTTTTCAATCACTGAAGAATTCTTGAACAATTTCAATGATCAACGTGAAAAGGTAGTTCCCGTCCTCGGATTGAGTTTGTATTTGCCGCTAATAAGTAACTTATTCATTATGCCTCTCAAGTATCAATAAAGAAAATTACAATCAGTAGTTCGTTCTATGAAATAAATAATTTTCTTATTCCTAATTTAAATTTGAAGTTTCTTCATCTTAAACACAAAGTGCGGACCCTACTCCCAAATTTACGATATGTCATACGTATATTTTTATATGATTTTTTTTTTGCAAGGTTTTCTAAGAAACGTATCTATCGTGTCAAAAGAAAGTTGAGTGCACACTGAATTAATTATCCATTAAGATGCTTCTATATCCAGTTTTATGAAACTCAACATTTTCTAGAGTGTTTAATATGTGTGTGTGTATAAGTACACGTGATACGTATATTCATTTATACTAAGACTTTTCTAAAAAAAAATTCTCGAGGTATATATTACCAAAAAATTGTGGAAGTCGTCGAGGATGCACGATATTCTGTCGTGTAATATTCGAGGGCGTCCACTCTTTAACAATTGCCTAATATATGTATCATTATCAATTAAAATGAAATGCGTTTGCGCGACTTGCTGTAGTTGTTCTCCAGAAGCAATAATCAGAAAAGTCTAATATCCATACAGGCCATACAGTGTAACGGGACTTCTTAAGTACCATTACAAAGTTGAGAGAGAATTTGAACAGAGGACGGCTTTTAACGAGCTAAAGCTTCGTATTAAGGCAGAAAAGAGTGCCTCAAGTTTGCCATAGTCAGCAAAGATCCTTTTGCAAATTATTACATTAATGCTTTACTAATGACTTCTATGCAACGAGGATCAAAACCCGGTAAGGAATGCACAACCTTGACGAACCTTAAGGCAATTTAGAAATGTCAGAACAGCTCCCACTGAAAACGCCATCATCAACAACCAACTTTATCCAAATCTATCTCCCATTTATTTTATAATGCTCGCAAGGTTTAGGTCAAAAATCAGCACCTATTACCACTTTTTTGCAGTTTTTTTTTGCAAACAATATGGAGCTTCCTCTTTACATCGCTTCAAGTCATTTACATTTTACTCTTCGAGTACACCAAAAATTTTCCCGACGATATAGGGATTCGCCCACAGTAGTATAATAAGGGCAGACGTTGTGTATAAAAAAGAGAACGGACAGACAGGCAATAATAGCTGAAACGATGCTATTTGTGTACATCATATATATAAAATTTAATAGCGTCTACTTTATGTTATGCTGTCTGTCCAATGCAGGCTTAAAATCATTTATGTGAAAAGGTTTTTTTTTAAATGTATTGTAAAAAATTTGAATGAAACTTGTTGGAATTAGACTGTTTGGGGTTTCAAAAGATCGTGCTTCGAGGAAGAAATGTTTAAGCCTCAAATGCACATTGTTGCCAATTGTCTACACTTCAATTCCATTTAATTTTAAAATTAATTTTTACTGGAATATAGACAATGGGCAACAATACGCATTTAAAGATTAACATTTCAAATAATCGTAATATTGTACAGACGTTCCAGGACGCGATGATTTCGAAAAAAATTGAAACCGGTTTAAGGCTGTCGTTATGAAGCTAACTCGAACGTGTAATCTTCAATTTCGATCTGATGGTTCTCATAATTCTGTTATTTAGGATATCCCAAAACCTGTGCAAGATTTGAACCTGCCGTCGTTTGCACAGTAAAGTGTTGGCAAACGAAAAGGAAAAGTGTTGAGTGTTGCATTGCGCAAGAGAGCAACACGTTCCCATTGTTGAGCAATACGTGGAAAATAATGAAAGTTTGGCGACCGCAAATCGCGCACAATATACGGTCACGTTGATGGCTTCGTTAATCGTTATATTGCCGTTCGTTAATTTGAGGTTCAGATAATCCACAAGTGATTGTCGAAAAACAAGTACATCCACAAGAGTTTGGTGCGAATTTTGGGCTGAATTGGATATGTACCCTCTCGTTTCGGCGACGAGAGTAGAGCCACCAGATCACGTGATTTAATACCAATGGATTACTTTTTATGGGATCATTCGAAGTCAAAGGTGTATGCCAGAAAGCCCACAACCATCCATGAATTGAAGGAAGAGAAAAAACCCTACAATCACCCGTGAATTGAAGAAGGCGGGGTCAACAGTGCATCGACTATGCAAAATGCTCATTGAAAACTTCGATAGGAGAGTGCATGTACGTGCCAGCAAAGTCGTGGACACCATTTTGCCCGACGTGCTATTCTATACATAACCCTATCGCACGTACGTTATTATTAGATAAACAAATGACTCTGCTTTCTATTTAATTTAAATTTCGAGTAAAAATTAGGAGACCCTTTACATACACCGATGATGTCAAGAATAATTTCTTCAACATATGCATCGAATGAAATATCCAAGTACCTTCAAAACAGGAAAGGACAGCATCGTTTCTGTGTTTCGTCGTTATGTTAGCTAGATCGATAACGAGAACCCTAAAGGGATCGATGTTTCGGAAAGAGCTGTTCGCCTCTTCCGAAAAAAAATTCACTTTAGCCGAAAAGATTAGAGCATCCCAAATGTCTTTGGAAGTCGGATACCCCAATGTCTAGCCTTCACGCTGAGTCCTTTCTTTATGCGAATTTTTTTTTTAGACGCAGTTGATCCTTGATCCGTAATGGTAAGATAAAATTTTTGCGTAGACGTAAGTTGATGACAACTTATATTTTTATTTTGAACGAATAAAAGATATATCTTTTTTCCTGGATCCTTAAAAAAAAATAATTGAAATTATTAAAATCTTTACATTCATTAAAATTTAAAGTGTGCACGTACGTGTGTTCTTCATAGAAAAGTACATTAAAATCTTGTGAAAAACCAGTGTGGAATCGGTGCAGACCCAAGTTGATTTTTGTTTTAAACAAAGTCCCAAGCATATATTTATCTGAATTTAATTAAAAATTATTTAATATGTAAAAAACTGAATTTGAATTTTCAAAAATTGAATTTGAAGTTTAAAATCTATACGCATTCGAACGAAAAAGTATCGAGATTTATTGCATTTTGCTTTATATGCAAAATATTAATAATTTCTATGCCCAACTCTGACGTTTTCCGAAAAGTAATTGCTTTAGCAAAATCATGTCTCTGCCCTACTTGACTCATCGTAGATATAAGGCTCAATATTTTTTACACCATCATCTACATTTTATTTAAGACAAATTTTTCATAAGGGAAAGGCTTGGAAATCTCCAAGGCGGCGCCTACTCTACGCTAAATGTAATTATGGGTTTTCCTCATTTTCGATATAAAAAATTGTAGATTGAATTTCAATTTTTTAGTTAGTATGATGGAATCCTGTGTCCACGGTGATGCATGATGCATTAAATTTGTTCACCTTACTATCTCTTGAAAATAAATTTTTCTACTTTCATCTCAGGCCAGTAGCTGTCAGGCCGATATGTACGAATGCCTAAACTTTACCGTAATGTCTTTACTATTTAGCTTCGTAAAGCACAGTCGTCTTGCCCTCAAGGTCATTGCCATTAGAATATGACGCCGGAAAGGGTTGTTGGGTCAATGTTCACGACATTCGAGCTAACTCGATAGCTATCGGTTATGGACTCACTATAAAGAATTGGCAGCTATCGATAATGAATACAATTTTCTTTACTATCGAATGAAACATTTTTCGATGGTAAAAATACTGTCCGGCAATATGTGCAAATTACGATCGAGTTTACTCGATATCGACAGACATGAACAGGCCGCAGAATATATTTGCCTAAATGCGAAAATAGTTCAAAATTGTGGCAGATCACTTCCTGCAAAATGTTTATAGTTATATGACTTCGTGGTCACATTGAAGCTTTTTTACTGTTGGCTGGCTGACCCACTGACAAAGAAGGGGAATATATTTACGTTTAATTTGTCGGCATTCTCATTAACATATTCGAAGTCCCCAATAACTTGAAGAGAGTCTTTAAAATGCGTGTAGGTGTAAAGCGAAAAGAATTGGGGAAGAATTAATCTTTAAACAACTTCCCGGCTACATAGGAATGCTTAGTCGCGCCACTTGTCGAGCAAGGGTTTCTCACGGTTTTCTGAAATTCATAAAATTTAAAAATTTCTGTCGACTGAATGGTATGATGCGCACTCATACATCCATAGTTTTCAAATCGTTTCGAATCAGTCGAGTACGTCCATAGCAAGTACTTAACCTTTAAGGCTGTAAATAGTTGGGCACGGCTATTTGAAATTTTAGCAATCTAACCGAGGATAGTTCCATGAATAAATGCTCGATATTTTTTGACCAGACCTACTAAATATATAAAATACTAAGTATTCTTTCTTTATAATATTATAAATTATACATCTTTTAGATTTTTTTTTTTTTTTTTTTTTAAGGAATAATATACATATCAGTATTGTTGTTATTATTACTTTTTGTTAGTTCCATTTAACTAATTAAAAAAATACAATATTTTGAATTTATACATACAAAGAAAAAAATAGTATATTAAAATAAAAAAAAAAAAATAGAATATATATAACAAACAAAAAATGCGATGGTCTTGAGTGCCTTACTAGCTACGAAATGAGAGAACATTTTTTCTTCTTTTCCTTTTTTTTTTTTTTCTTTTTTTTTAATTTCAATTTTGGTATAATTATTTTCCACCGTTTTTCGTTTTCACTCTTTCCTTTTTTTAAATATGTTTTTTTTTTTTTAATGCCTATTATTTTGCTTTTGTACTTTGTTTTTGTTGTTGGTTGTGATTGGTATATTGCTAAATATGTCCAGAATTTTCCTTTTTTTTTTTTGTCTGCATTCCATTTTTCTCTTTTAATAAAACGGTATATTTTCTGTATTTTCAATATTTTCGAATTGCTAGGTTTATGTCGATATTGCTTATGCGGTAGTAATATGAAGAATTAAATGTTAGCTATTATTAGCTTTCTTGTTCTCGCGCCTTTTGTATTTGTTTTATTTTTTTTCCGTTTTTTTTTTTTTTTTTTCTTTATATTTTATTTATATATAAATTTTTATTATTTTTTTTTTATTACATCTATTACTATTTCTTACATACATTCGATTGAAGATTTTTAGGAGAAATTTTAATTACATAACATTTCATTTACAAAGACATTAAGTGCGTTTTTAGTTTGATTGAGTTCTTTCTTTATATGATTTTAAGCGAAATTTTTCAATTTAATATCTGGTTGATATACGAAAAAGTCTATGTCCAATTTCGAAAGTTCTGATTTTGAAATATTTAAAATAGTAATAAATTTCAGTGAATCATCATTCATTTTGTATTTATTGCTTAGTAAATCCGATTTCATATAAAATTTCGTTATACAAATGCTCTCTTGATCATCCGCGAGATGATTGATGGGTGTCTACATAAATATTGAATTAGGGCTAAGACTATTATTAATATAAAAGTAAGAATTAATTGATGAAATGATTTTTCGCTCTGTTTACTAAATCTTACTGTGGCCTGGTACTTGCGATACAAGTAATCCGGATTGTAAAGTTTTTCAATCTAAACAAATCAAGGGAAAGTTCTAGAAGGGACCAGTGGCAGCTTGATTTTTCTTTTAATAAAGATGAGAACGCTTTACTTAAGCTACCAGCCCTAACAAGAGAATTTGTTCTATGAAATACGAAAATGAAATTAGATAACATCCGGGATCTCGATTTGAAGAATACTCCTTGAAAAGGAGCAGTTTCGCTTCCAGAAGAAAGAGCAAAACGATATGCATGCATGATATTAGCTTGCCTTGGCTTGACCTGGCATGAGTCTTTGAGAAGTCACTAATATCAAGTGAACCCGATTACCTGATTTTTTTTTGTTATTGCATACCGTGTCATTATACAGAACTTCACCTAAATCGTCAAAATTATTTCGAAAAACTTTATAGTTCAAAAACAAAAGAGATTTCTTTCAAAAATCGTCAATTGAGGAATTTTTTTTTTTTTTCTTTTCAATATACTTTTACAGGCTGGTTCTCCCCTTAATCACTTCTTATAATTAAGGTTAAATGCTTCTTCTACTTCCTAGCAGAAGCTGCTAACGGATAGTGTTTTTACAAATCGTAGCTTAAAGAAGCTTTTGATTTTTGTTATGCACCGACATTTAAAAAGCGATGCATATTCGCAACGCAGTGCTGGGCGAGCGTAGCAACTGCTGTGCCACTTTAAGAGAAACCCGATTTCAAGCCAACACAGAGAGAACCAACGCATCTCAGGAAAATCACTTCACAATACATGATCCCCGTCAAAAAGTGAATCAACTATAGTTGATTGTATGTAGGAGTTCCGAAAGCGTCTACCTATTGGGTCCGCTAGTTGGTAGTTCTGGAGATATATAGATATATATGTATATTCCAGTTCTGTATGTATGTATACAAATATATATTTACGGATATATATACGTATATGCATATAAGAAGCGTATATACATATCTAGATAGCAAATAGATATATGTAACATATATATAACATATAAATATATATATACATAGATACATATATAAATATATACATATATATTTATTTATATATATATATACATATACATATACATATATGACCAACCGCGCAGGCAATATTGTCTGTACATGTAGGCACGATGGTGACCTGGTGGTGGAGGACGGATAATAATAGGTAGAGGAGATTTACATAATTGCGCTTTTTTTATTAAATAACCTTACTAATATTCGACCAAAGGCCCTAGCCACAACTTAATGCTTTCCGCTAAGAAACAAATCGCTCACAACAAACTCGAACAGAAAGACCGACAGGTGTCAACGTTCGGTTGATTAAAATTTGCGAAAGATATGCTAACCAAAACAATATTTTATCATAATTAAGATTCTTGCGCTAAACCGTTTGAACCGACTTTCGTCTGATATAGAAAAAAAAAAAAAAAAGAAGGAAAAGCACGATAATATTCAATTTCATATTTTCAAAATTTTCTTTAAGAGATCGACAACTAGTAGTAAGTAGTGCACGAATGCAAAAGCAATGAAAGACGACACGGAAGGCTTGATATTTTTTAACGAATGACGATAAATTATTTCAACATTGCATTTTATGCTCGATAATGAATCAATCATCAATTTACGGATGCATGAAACATTTAATCAAAAAAAAAAAAAACAGACTTGAATATATGTTATATTCGTAAATAATTGAGAAGAGCGCAAGTAAAAATCGTTTAATAGAAATGAAATGGATCGTAGCTTAGAAGAAAATATTAAAAAAAATATATGTAGGAAAAGAAGCAGCATTTTAAAAGAACTCTTCCTGTCGAGAGACGGCGTAACGCATTCATCAATAAATTGAATGTAAGGAATGATGTGATTTTGCGATGTTTTAGAGTTATATAATTAATTTAATGTATTACTTGTCCTTCTATTACAGTTATTATTATTATTATTATTATTATTATTACTATTGTTGCTGTTATTGTTATAATTTGTTCTCGAATTATAATTAAACGTTTTATTATGATCAAGTTTTTTATTATTAGTAACGTTTGCAGTAATATTAACAAAATGTACATTTTTTTTATTAATAATACTAGTAGACGACGATCTATTATTGTTATTATTGTTGTTGCTGTTGTTGTTGTTGTTGTTGTTGTTATTACGTTTAATGATTAATTTATTATTATCGTTGTAATAATTATTAATAATATTATTGTTATGTTTATATTTAAATAGTTTTTGTTGTAAATTATTTTTAATGCGATTATTAAACCTAATCAATTTTGTGTGTTTGCTGTTGCTGTTGCTGTTGCTGTTTCTGCTGCTCGATCCCGAAATTGTTTCATTCATATTATTTAATGTTCCATTAGCTTTTATATTTTTTATATGTGTCGCTGTTGTTGTTGTTGTCATTGTTCTTGGTACAACAAATTCAATTAAATCAACCGTACCATCGGTCTTTACGGTAATTTCACTGGTATCTTCTTCTTCTTCTTCTTCCTCTTCATCTTCCTCTTCTTCTTCAATATCGTGCAAATGTTCTTGTTGCTGCTGCTGTTGTTGTTGTTGTTGTTGATTAAAAGGAATCCCTTTATTATTGTTAAGCGATTTTCGTTCTAAAGTATGAATTTTGTTAATTACGTTGGGCAAAGGCTTCGTTTTAATGTTTAACAATTTTTGAGAATTCATTTCAATAGTTTCCGTCAAGTTGTCAGATAATTCTTCTGTATTTGTTAGAAATTCTAAATTATCGTCTTCTTCTTCATTTTCCACTTCAATATTATCCTCGGCATCAGCTTCATCATCACTGTCGTCATCATTATTATTATTATTATTATTATTATTATTATTATTATTACTATTATTATTATTTGCTTTATTATTAATCGCTAAACAGTTTTCCATTACCTCTGCCTTTTGAATTAATGCCGTTTTGCTAATTAACGCTGTAGCGTTTGATGGGGGGCCGCGAAATCAAGACAGCTGCTTTGCCACAATGACACCGGGACGACACTGTTTTAAAGCTGAGCCTGTTATGGTGACAATACCGCCAGTATTTGCAATTCCTCCCGCACAGCTATTACCGCCTGCGGTATTATTTGTTGTCGGTGCTTTGTAGATCGCGGTTGGTGTTACTGCAGTCGAGAGCGATACCGGCGTAACTCCCGTACTATTTGTGCTTTTGTCTCTCTGAGTTTGTATGACAGCTGTTCCGTTTTTCGATAAAGTTAACGCATTACCTACTATTGTGACATGTTTGGCGCCACCTTTTAATTGCAAAAACGGGCGCAATTCAGAGAGGGTTTTACGTTGGGCAATATGCTGCTTTGTAGTCAAAGCCAGCGGAACTTCTTGTCCGCGAACAGTTGACACATGCTGTTGAGTTACCAACACTTTGTGCTGTTCGGTGCCGTCGGTAAACAAATGGTCGCCTTCTAAATGGCGTATCGCCTCTACTATAGTTTCCAAATTTTGGCGGGAACGTGTTAAACCACTTGTCTGTTCGATTTTCTCGGTTTTAACTTTCTTTAAAGTAGCGTCATTAATGCGTTCAACTTCTACTTTTGGAGTTGCTTTGATCGCTGCTTGCAAAATGGGTTGCAGAATGTCGGGGCTGGGTGAGTTTCCCTCGGCATATGCCTTAGCAATAGCATTAACGGCGACTTCTTGTTCAGATTCAGTGGACGAGGTCGATGATAGAATAACTTCCTCGTGTACATTATCTTCAGTTATAATCTCGGCTGCGGCTGCTGCAGTCTCATTTTCCAGCTCCTCTATGCTGGAACAAACAACAACCTGTTGTTGACCGGTCAGCTCATCAATTTCAACATATGAAAACTCTTCGCAATCGTCACGCACCAAATTGCCCGTGTGTTCGATAACTTCTCTCGGAATGTAAGTGGTGGAGCCACCGTCAGTGCAATCATCAACTGCGGTTGGTTGGGGTGCTGTTGCCACGGTAATAAGCTGACGTTTAATTGCTTGCAATTCTTCCTCTAGAGCAGTGCGTAACCGCCGCTCTTTAAATAGTTGCTCTTTCAAATCTAAAATTTCTTTAGCCGCATTTTGAGCTAATAACATTTGAGCTTTGGAGTTGACCACTGCACTGCTAGATGCAGCACCGGACGCGCTCAATAAAGTCATAGGTTCCGGCGACATAGAGCCCAAGCCTTCATCAGACGAATCGCTAATAGCCTGGACACTAACAATATTATCAGTCAACTTTCTTTTCTTAATGGCAACGCCACTGATTGTGTCGGCTGATGTTGTTCCATCGCTTCCGCCGCCACTATTACCCGGTCCCCCGCCACCACCACTGCCAGCTTCATGATGCCCCAATTGGCGTTTTAATTGATTGTTTTGGTTCAGTAATTGCGTTTTCTGATTTTCCAGCTCCATAATATACGTAGAAGTTTGCTGCAGAATAGCAGCCTGGAAAAAAGAATCGAATTAAGTGATTGAGAAAAAATTCTATTCATACTGACATTTAAAAAGGAATTATATATTTTATATATTATATACACAGAAAACTTGTCTGAAATCGTATAATAGGTGAAGAGCTCCCATATCTGACTGTCTGTCACACCACTGAAGCATGAAAGAATGAAGTTTTCACTTTTTTATTTAAGAACAAACAAAATACCCTCTCTGCTTCAATTTCGGAAATGGCTCATAATTTCAAAATTCTTTTAATGCTAAACGTCGACGATCTTTATTAAGGGTTTTAGTTGTTGTTCGCACATTTGTAATAAAATCATGTTCGAAATAATGTCACTCCTTTCGGGGCCCATTATATTGCAAAATAGTTTGGTTTAATTAAGAGAATGTATTAGGAAACAGTAATAATTTGTATCAATGGCCGGCCCATCCACTTGATTTTGAAAACAAATAAATATAGTTATTCATATAACGAGTTTGCAAAAAATAAGAACTCATATGGGAGAATTGGTCGAAAATTTGCTCCGACCCTTTTCACTAGCGTTCTTTCTTGAGACAAAACATGTCGGCATACAAAATTTCATCGCAATATATCGAAAATTGTCACCTGTGCGTTAAACCCAATGTATAAGGTTTTTCGAAATATCTTCGGTTGGTCCGAAATGTAATGAAAATAAGGAAAATTATCGTTTTGTCAAGGCAGTTTAGTTTGGTAGTTATTAATGATGGGCGTGTATGTAGGCAGGCTTTAATCTATCACGCTATGTTTGTACCAAATTTTAGCTTCTTAACTGTGACGTGTCGACGTATGCAGTGGGCCAAAATGATCACTTTCGGTAGAAATAGGTATAAGCGTAATGTCGGTAAATCTAGTTTTAAGAAAATAAATTTATTTAACAGACGGTAGTACTGGCGAAATTTGAAAAATATATGATAGATTTTGTGTTCGGAACTTGTCCTGTGCATTGCCTAATATACATAACGTTTGCAGACGACTCGCGCTTACCCAAATTGTTTTGATTACTGCCATATTATACCTTCGAATCGATGCGAGTTATATGAACTTAAACGTCCTGTTTGCAAAGCATTGAAATAAATTTCAGACACCTTATGAGACGTTTTCTTAATTGACCCGATCTGCTGTTACGTTGGTATGCAAGAGATGTTTGCAAAAATTTTGATCACTTTTTCAGTGGGAAAAGGCATTTATTGTGGAATATTGGTACAAGATATATTAATCAAAATAGTTTCCATCATTTTCTACAACAATTTACAATATTATTGGCAACATCGCGATATCATGTCGAAAGACTTGGTCTGGCAAAGATCCAGCCACTGATCCAATTTCGCACTTTTTAAACTTTGCGGACCCGCGTACTAGTCAAGCCATGCTGCATCGAACTGAACAAATGGTAATCAGAAGGCGCCATGCCATGTCTAGTGACTAAACTGAGTGTGACAGAACTTCCCTTTCGAGTTGCAACAATGTCTCCTGGACAACTCTTGCAACAAGTGGCCAAAAATTTGCACTTTCAGACAATTCGTATCGCTACTTTTAAACCGTTGAAACCTAAACCGACAACTGAGATATGATGGGGCAGCATCAAGTTTCTGAACGTGTTTGGTGCCTTTCGGCAGCAGATTTCATCAAACAAGGAACAAAGGTAATGAATTGGGAAGAAGAACAATTTTGAGCGCTTGATGATTAGCGTCGGCGTACGCTGAGTAAATCATTAATATTAAATGGAGAACTGTTATTTTATGTAGAGGAAGATCAAAACTAACGAATTCAACCGTTATGTTTATTGATATTTTCTATATCTTCACCATTTTTATCTGAAAAAGTTGCTGATCAAAATTTTCGCAAATATCTAATATTTGCGAATGCCATAAGTCATAATAATTTTCAATTTCACAATAATTGACACTGAAAACGAAGACTTGTTTGTATCCTTGAATACAATGATGCAACCGTCAAATATATTTGCAATAGGAAAACACATACAACGAAAATTTTAAAACTTACTTCGAATATATACCAAAGTAAGTTTGTCGGGCAAGGGAAAAGTCCTTCCCCATTTACAAGAAAATTTCACAGCCCAGTCAACGAAACAACAGTGATATTTAAGAAACCTCATACAAGCTTGGTTATGTTAAGGAGAATAAAGACATAATGCCAACATTCATTAACAGCCACATCATTGGCTTGTGTAAAAACCAAGTACAAATACACGAAGGATACTGTACCTCTTAAAGTAGTAGTGCGTTTGATCAGCATTTCATTATGAGAGGAATAGCGAGTTACTAATTAGTATATTGGCAAGGAAAGGTGCATTCAAACAACATACCCACAACAGCAAGTTATAATTGCTACTGTTTAAAAAAAAAAAAAAAAAAAATAGAAGAGGAACCAAACTTTGTTTTCGTCCAAGGAACGGGCATTTTTGAACTGTCTTGGAAGTTATGAACTTCCATTTAATTTTAAAGTTTTCTTTGAGATATTAAAGTATCTTATATTGTATTTCTGTGAACAAACTTGCTTAAGTAAAAGTAAAGAAGAAATAAATAAATAAATGGGAAACTTTCCGCCAATAGAAATTAATAAAAGAAAGAAAAAAAATTATGTGTCTATGCTTTGCCACAGATACGTACGGTTCGTAGTATTGGTAAATACAGATGGCCAAAACAAAATAGCAGACAACAGTTGCTGAGTTACATACAAATGTGTTTTCATATATATAAGTACATTTGTGAATGCAGCAAAACTTGCAAAATAACATCAACAGAAAAACAATGAAAAAAATCAAAAAAAATAAAAAAAAACCAGAAATGCCGGCAAAATATAAATGAACACAAAAATCACACACAAATTTCGTTCATATAAAATACTTAAAACGGGTAGGAGTGTGAGAACCGATGATTGTCGTAAACAACACAAAGCCAAAGCTCTTCGAAATGTAAACAAATACGAGGTGAAGCGGAAAAAGAAAAACAAAACAGAAGGAAAAACACATGAAATATACACACACTATTACAATCGTTTATACACATAAAACGGTCGCATATGTTTTTAGCTATTTTCCTTTTTTTCTGCTTCACATTTTTTTCTTTACTCGTTGGTATATCTTTTTGTTGTACTACGTTTTTGTGATGACTGTACTTTTTTCTGCGGCCTCATCAACGCTGTGACACAAGCCAATACTTCCAACCTTCGCCGCAATAATATATATAATAGAGAGAGCAAAATCGTTTCAATTGCCTTGTTGTTTCATAGCAAAGTAAACACATGGAATGAAACGAGAAAACACATGTTTTGCTGCAAACGTACTCGCCGTCGTTTGCAAAATATCATAGTTTGCGCCCAAATGAAACGGAAATATTGAGTAATAAGTGTGAGAGAGAACGGGTCAGCGACAAAATGAACACACAGCAAGCACAAAGTCAATAAGTTTTTATTTCTATTCACTCATTTATTTCCCCTCCCTTACTTATAGATATTTATTGTATCGCTAGATATAGTTACACTTCCATTAGCATACGCTTGCCATTTGGTTCATTTTCCAATTTTCCCGACTGTACATTGTTTTTATTTCTAACGTTTTGTGTGATATTGTATGTGCACGTACATTGTCGTTTATTAACAGATGAATAAAAATACGCAAAGCAGCTGATGCTCAATATTCTCCTATACGAAGCACTCCCATACTAATGAGACGTATGTATGTATGCATGTATGTATGTATGTATCATACTTTAAATAAGATCGCGTCGTTCGTTTCAGTCGCTGCCGTTTATTTACAAGACGATATGACTTATCTGCCGCGCGCAGTAATACTGTATTTCTATAAATGGCGTGCTGTGTTGGATTTTCTTTACAAATACCATAACAAAAACAATAACAGCTAATCTACAGTATTAAAAAAAAGTTGTGGCGTTTGTGAACAAACGAAAAACGCAAACCAAAGAAAATTTTTGATAACCACGTCATGTCTCTTATGCTCCTTTCTCACATTCTGCTTCTCTCTGGTGTTTTTAGGAAGAATGCAAAGAAATTGCATTCCATTGCGTGAGATTGTGCTTATGCGTGTAAATGCAACCCAACTGCACATGTAGGCACTCGATGTTCCAATGGTGCGATTAATAAAACAAATTATTGAATACTTTTATATATATACACGATTTTACACAAAATCGACATCAATATGGTAACACATTTGTATGTATTACAAGAAATATAAAAATAGAAAGTTTTTAAAAACAAATAAAAAAAAAACCCACAGACAAAGTGTAAGTAATTTTTATTCATTAATTTCATTCATTAATACTTTCGGTTAAAATTTTGAAAACAACAACAAAATTAAGGACAACGTCTTTTGAAAAATTTTCACATTTGAAGTTATATCGGAAAACTAAATAATGCATCGAGAACACTATGCAAATCAACCGCGAAGTGTACATATACGGCGCCAAACTCAATGACGAAAAAGTTGGAATTTATCTTCAGCGTAGTCCGAATTAAATAACATCCGTACCGTTTTTTTGGAAATATTAGGCCGAGTCATAAGTAACTTCCGCTTTTTTAACAGACATTTGTTTTGTTTTCATTAAATAACAAAATCATATTAATTTACCTGTTAATTGTGAGGTATTCAAGCTTTTTTGACAAACCTCTTGTTTATCTGCGTGGATTTCGCTCTAATACAGCCTTTACAAGATTTCCATCAAAGTCTGGAGGACAGCACGTCTTTAAATGCGTGTCTCTAAAACGGAATTTTACAAACCAATTTTTAACTTTCCGATCAATTATCAGTCCTTCACCGTATACCATACGTACTTTTCCATCTGTCGTCTTAGCGCTATTCCCAAAGCATTTGATGCCGAATATGCACTTTTTGACTCTTTATTTCAGAGGTTAAGAAAATCAGTTGAATGTAACGTGCACCACATAAAACAATTGGCACAGGATTAACTGAACCCTCATCTATATAATGAAA